AACATAATTAATATTATCATTTATAATATAACAAAATTAATTCAACATTTACATTACATGCAATGTGGATATTTTTAAAAAATTCGAGAATGTAAGTATATGTATATGTATATTATTAAGAATTACAATTCTTTTTTTCAGCCAGAACGCCTATGCTCTCCAACATGGGTATTGCATTTCCAAAAAGGCAATAGTTTTGAATGCGCGACGCTTTTGGTAAGCTTATTATTGGGACAGAGTTACAATGCGTTTGTGGTGAGCGGATACGCATCGCGCGAGCAAGCTCTCTGCGACATGACCAGAAGGAACTGCCCGTATTTGCCGGAGCGAGAACGCACACCACCACCAACCGACATGCCTAAAATTGTTAAATATCAATTAAAGGCACCACCGGATTTTAGAAGCCAATTTCTCTTAGAACTGGAAGAACGCGAGAGAAAAAAGATAGATGCCGAGTTACAACAACAGGAAGAAGAACGACGGAGGATGATCGCTGTATACATCTATTTTATTTAATCAATTTGTTTTATGCGATAGCATAAACTCTATTCTTAATTAATAATAATTAATGGAATGGATTACTTAATAAATATGCCATTTTATCCGATACGCAATGCATAATTAAAATTTAAGAATGAAAATTATATTCTATTATAAGTATTGAAATTTCAAATTTCCTATCTCGAATTTTTTATTAAATACGTTGATATATATATATATTGATTCGTGTCGTAATTGTTCGCTCGATTGTACCATTTTAGGAGTTTGAGCGTCCACGGCCAGACAAATATTTCGGTCACAGAATACACGCGTGGGTGGTGATTCTGCCGGAAGATAAAGGCCCGAGAAATCGAGAAATCACCGATCCGATTTTTATCGAACCTGCCTCCGGAATGTATTACAATCCGACCGATGAAGATACCAACTTGTTATATCTGGGGGTCAAAAGTATTTGGAACGATCAGAATTATTGGGTGAATATGCAATCGCGCGGAAAGGGCTGCGCGGAAATTAATTGGGATTTGAGCAAAGTTGAATTCTGGGAGCATTTGCTACCTGGTGAACCGCGCGTTGCGCAGGAAGACACAGACGAGATCGAAAAAGATGTAGAGCAAGATAAGCATTTGGATATGCCGGCTTCATACGTGAATGAAATCCAAATTCACAGCTTAGGTATACAAATGTCTCTTTTTTAAGAGCCGACTCGAAATACATATATCACACATTATTAATGAGCGGATATGCATCGCTCATCACATACCCAAATAACATTAATAATATAATATAATATAATTAATAACTTTAAGATATTAATATGTCATTATATACATTGCTCTCTTAGATTTTGAAAGACGATATCCACAAGGCAGTAAAACGATATTTTACAAGAAGGCCAAAGTGGAGTTATACGCGCCGTACTTTCAGATGGATGGTTTGATACAACGAATAACTGTTTATAAAGATTACGAATATAGCATTCCTGTTCAATGTTACGAAAAGTATTTGGAGAGAAGCGACTGCCTTACGGAATCTAGGAAAGATCTCGATACGGATACTGTCACGGATTTCTTTGAGAAAGGTCGATCGGATCATTGTAAAGGTAAAATAATTTCGAGTAAAACTCTCATTACTATATGCGAGTTTCGTATTGATTTTTGTATTAACGCTAAGAAATATCAACAGCGAATCGTTATCTCGCATCTGATATTGCCTCAATAGGCAACGAAAGAGCGATAGATTTTTACGATAGTGTGCAATTTGATGGATTATCGCGCATCGAGATGGGTCCACTTTATTTGACTCAATATTACACAAATCGTGAAGATTTTCTTTATTATAGGTACAAATCTCGTTATTTCAGCAGCTATTACATATTTTCATCCTTGTTACATCAGTTCTCTTTAAATAAATGTCAAGACGTGCGTATATACCGTATAAAAAATCAAGTCCCTTAATCTTTACTTTTGAATTTTTTTGTCTGTTTCTTGTAAACTTTTACACATAAAAATGTAATGATATAAATATGTAATATTTTATATTATTTTAACAGGCACGCTCAATTTTCGGTAGACAAAAATAATCTGGCGGATGGTATACATTTTCGACATATTTCAGTAATGTTGATGTTATAAAACCTTAAATTTATTACGCGATAAGTAAAAAATAATTGACTCTTCTCATCTTGTAGAAAATCATTGAAAAATATCACAGGAACAAAGAAATCCCGGCTTGCCAGGACATAGCCGTTCGCGAATTCGCGATGATCGAGAACGAAATTCGTATTAAATTTCATTATGATAAAGATCGAAGTTCCAGAGCTACTCGTACGTTCATAAAACCATCGATGGCAGATAGAGGAGATCGTTTGGTGTTTGATCCCGCAATGACTTATGGATACAATGTAAATTTTCTTTATAACAAAAATGTTGATAAAAAAATGGCGATATAACTTACGTATCTTGCAGCCGGATCCAACTGCACCGCCGGAAAAAAATCTCGATCTGTTTTATAATCTCGATAAGCATTTGAAAGATGAAGATCATTCCATACTCTGTGTCAGAGATGCCGAAACCGAAATCATGGGATTCTTAAAGAGAAGGATCGATGAAAATTCAAATCCGCAGCTCGCGATTTCGTTATTCGACAAAAATCGAATAGTTGAGACGACATCGGCTGACTCGGAAATGGTATTCACCCACATCAATTATTTAATTTTTTTTTTTTATTAATTAAAAGAGCTTTACGACGCTGCTTGTCTTCAGGATGCGGTAAAGGGTCCCAGTCAGCGTGATGATGTCGCGCAAGAGATCGATCCATTGGGACCATATTTAGCGCGGATAGGCAACCCGGCCTACATCAGCAAGGCAGAAGCGTACCTGTTGCGCGATGATTGTTTAAATGACTTTAAGCAATTGTCTATCGATAAAGCAAGTTATATTCTACGTGTTATCGAAAAGCGCGCTGTGGAACTAGAAAAGATGCAAACTTTGCTGACACAGGTGCGAAGCTCTTAGAGTACACTTTCCATTGATATCGTGTCGTACAATTATTCTGATTAATTTATATGTGTGCAGTCTGTTGATTTACCGAAAGCGGAGGAAGATCAGATGCTAGCCAAGATAAACGAGATAAGCTTCAATTTGCACGTGCTTGAAACATATCTGAATCGGCATAGAGATCAAGCGCCGCAGAGATATAGAATATTGACGGATCGTTTGCGGCAAAATCCGCATCTCCAAGTACTTCAGAAAAATTAGAAAAAAAATATTGAGAAATTATACAGAAAAATGAATATGTAAGTATACATATAAAGAATATTAACTTGCATAAAAATTTCGTTTTTCACATGTTACAAAAATCATACTCATTTTATATCATCAAGGAGGATACATATTGGCATTGCAAAATGTACAATATATTTATTGAAAGGACCACGAGCCCATTTGACCAATGCATCGACCTGAAATGATTTTGAAAAATAAATGTAAAACAACTTGAATACGACATAGTTCTCAATTCTGCGTTTCATTACCTTCATCATCAAAAGTGGCCAGCGTGAATTTGCTAAGTTTATTTGTAAAGTTTCCAGTAGGGGAAACTAGCGGATGATCCAACTGATCGTTGCTACCGTCGCTGTTGATAAATTGATGACGATAGTCCTCGGCGAAGCCGGAAATAAGAGTATCCATCATTGGCGCCTAAAGCATAAATCTCTATATTTTCATTTTATAAAAATAATTATTAGATATTCTCGAATATATGACTTGTACCTGTTTTGAAAATACTTGCAGAATCTTATAGACTCGCGCTCCGTTCTCTCGCACCGGAAATTGCAGAAATAAACAAGGCAAGCAATCCGGATTATTCTCGTCCGATGGTTTTGCCATCTCCCAGCTCAGTTCCGAGTATTTTAGCCCTAATAGCAAGCTCTGCATAAATACATTTCAACATGTTATTCTATATATCATATATATTTTATAAATATTCAGTTTGATATTGCACTTACGCACTGCATGTCGTCGACTATGTATACACCCGACGTATTAATCGCAACAAGGACCTGCATGTCGCGATTGGTGATCCACGACGCGAGACCTCTGACAGGTCGCTCGATTTGCCCTTGGAAGAAGGCCGCACCGTAACACGGTAAGTTCCAACAGAACTCGAGATATTTCTTGATTAACTTTTTGGGATTTGCGTTAGCGCTACCGTTATGATTCGGTATTCGCTTGTACTGTTCCAGAAGATGCGCCTCAGGTGCTCCCTTGCCGCCCACCAGTCCCAATCCGAGTCCCAATCCTAACAGGAGACTGGGAAAAGCGTGGTGATGCGGTAGAAATCGACCGCGGTGTCTTCGGAAAAACGCCAAGGTATGCGTTTGCGCGTTATAGGGCCCAAGTTCGATCCGAGCCTGTAACGCTCCTAAAGTGGCATAACGCGCGGGACCGTCACACGCGTATCGTCCTAAACAGAAGTTAAATTCATGTCTTATATGAAGAGAGGAACTATATAATTTTAATAGAAACTGTATAATTTAAATTTCTTTATAGAATAAACTTTCTACATATCTTTTATTTAATGTCATTCACCTTGTAGAACATTGTGTCTGGCTTCCGCATAGAGTAATTCAAGCACTTTAGCATCTTTAATTTGTTCCTCTTCTGCTCTGGACAAAAATATATTTCTACGAAAGTATAGCAAAGGTTCCTCGTCATCGGAATCTTCTACATGAGAGCTATACTTGTTCACGAGATAATTCCACTTTGCAGCCAATTCTACAGGCTTATGTGTTGGACGTAATTGAACTTCCATCTGCGAAGAACACATCCATAGTGCAAAAACTGGTGTAGTGGTTACTAAAGAAAATCTCAATAAACCCAGTTCTGCCTCTGATTGAACTATTGTAAATATCTGCTGTGCCGTCACATTTTGTTCAACTTCCATCGTCAGAAATACTCCTGTCATTAGATAAACAGCTATGCGTATCGTAGGTCTTCCTGTATTTGAATATTGTGGCTGATTTGTCATTGTTTTATTCACTGCAAATAAAAGGAAAGAATTTTAAGTATTGAAAAATATCAATTCTCTCACTTATAAATTTAGAAAAATTTATAAGTACATACAAGTAGATGAATGTCCTTCTGACTTGTAGTCATTTGTATAGCGACGCAGTGGTTGTCCTCTTTGAATTGAGCAATCATTTTGTTGCTCCATTTCCTTCAGAGTTTTTCTATTTTTCTCTTTTTAATTGTTACTAATTAATTATAAAATCTATTAAAACGCAAAGTAATCAAAAAACGAATTAGAATTGTAAACATAAACATTGCGCTATAATGATCAATCCATATACTCACATTAATAATATTATTTTTGACTTAGTATTTTGCAATTAATACTGTTTACTATTTAAAGTATTACATATTGTTTATAACACGTTCCCAGTATTATAATCACGAAATTAAATAATTGTTTTTGTTGCTAACTCATTATTATATCCTAAGTACATCTCTCCCACATTATTAACGCGATGAACCGTGTTTATTGGTATCATTAGGATCACACACATTATCAAAATATTTTTTAGTTTACCTCTTTTTATCTTATTTCAGTTTCAACGCGTGTTACTAAGCTCTGTCGCGCTGCCATCTGAACAGTGAAGCTGCAGCAATTTTATTGATTATTTGTATGTAGAGTGTACAGTATATCCCGATATCGTTCGTCTTTTTATCAAAATTAATATTTATATAGAAAATAAAATTATTTATCATTTAATCTTATTAAAGCCATAAAATACTTTATTAATAAGAAACACTAATTATCATTTTTCACAATTCTATATCTACATTCATATAGTTTTATCATTACAGTGAAGAGATAGAACTTTTTCTACTTATTATTAGTTGAATAGCGGTTTTACCCAATTGCAGCATCTAGAGTCTATTATGTCATAAGTGATTAAATTCTCTTAATTAGAAGTCTATATGAATTAACTAATTGGGGAAATAAATTGGTCCTAATTCAGGACCAACAGATCTCGTTTTTATCACAATGGGATATGATAAATTTCACTTCACATACATATAAAACTCAAATCTACTTTCTTTAATTATCACGTAGTTGCTTTATTCATTAAGCAACTCAGTTACCATGATTATATATAACATTATATTTATATTATTCTTATAAAAATAGTATAAATAATATAAACTAAAAATAATTTAAAGACCATATGACATTCATTAAGGAATCCTCAACTCTTGTAGTTTTCTTGTTGCCATATAATATTTTTAGAAAGAATCAGAAATTTTGTTTTCTGAATAAACCATCCAATAATGCATGTGAAAAGTGTGTAGCTAAATGACATTCATGAAGTTAAAAAAATTGTTGTTTTATTGAAGTAATTAAACATATTTTTATATATAATCTCTTAGATCTCTTATATCAGGTCGGCAACGTTCATCGGCATTTCGTCTATTTGTGTAGAGTAATACTGCTCGATATCTCGAAGAATCCTTATATCATCAGTTTTTACAAAGTTTATCGAGACACCTTTACGACCGAAACGACCCGATCGACCTATTCTATGAATGTATAATTCACGATTGTTAGGTAAATCGTAATTAATTACGAGTGACACTTGCTGAACGTCGATACCTCTCGCCCAGACGTCCGTTGTGATTAGCACGCGACTGTAAAAAAAAAAAAAAAAGAAAAATATTAGTATAATATAATTACCTATACAAATATTATCTTAAAATGGTATATTTTTAAGAGGATCCAAAAGCTCATCTGTTTTACCGACCATAATAATTAATATTTGCTTAATATAAAAGTTTTGCAGTTTGTATGTACAAAACAAGATAGGTCTCCACTCGGAAATGCATGAAAGAATATAAGTGAACATTTAGAAACGTGTTTAGAACCTAGTAAAAAAGATTACTGTGTGCAAAATTTTGCAGACTATGTTCACTTATATTTTGCAGACTATGTTCACTTAGGCTTTTGGATCCCCTTAAAGGCTATAATCTTACCTTTGACCAGATCGGAATTCTTTCATTATGTTGTCTCGTTCCTTTTGAGGCATGTCTCCATGCATAGAGCACACAGTAAAGTTAGCTTCTCGCATCTTTTCTGTCAACCAATCTACTTTACGCTTGGTGTTACAGAAGATAACTGCTTGTGTTATCGTTAATGTGTCGTACAAGTCGCAAAGTGTGTCAAATTTCCATTCTTCTCGTTCTACAGCGACAAAGAATTGTTTAATTCCTTCCAACGTCAATTCATCACTAGAAATGCAAAAAGTGTTAAAATACATTCATATTTAATAATATAAAACAAAGATGAAAAATTATTTACCGTTTGACAAGAATACGAATAGGATCTGTCATAAATTTACTAGTCATCTCAAGAATTTCATGTGGTAAAGTGGCTGAAACTAGAACCACTTGTGTCGCCGGTGGTAGATATCGATATACGTCGTAAATTTGCTCTTTGAAGCCTTTGTTCAACATTTCGTCGGATTCATCCAGCACTAACATTTTGATAGCTCTGGTTCTAAGTACCCGTCTCTTGATCATATCTATTAAAAATTCACGAAAATTTTATACAAATCTTATAATTCTGCCAAAGTCTATCATGTATACTTGATAAAAATAAAACATGGTACCTACCAAATACTCTACCAGGTGTGCCAGATACAACATGTTGACCATAATCGAGCTTTCTGATATCTTCCCCAAGATTTGTGCCACCGATACAAGCATGACATTGCACATTCATAAAGTCTCCTAATGCGAGGATGACTTTCTGAATCTGAGTTGCAAGTTCCCGAGTTGGCGACAAAACCAGAACTTGAGTTTCCCGTACTTGTGTGTCCAATGATTGCAATATTGCAATTGAGAAAGTAGCGGTCTTTCCTGTACCAGATTGTGCTTGCGCTATCACATCTCTGCCTTTCATAATAGGTTTAATGGATCGTTGCTGAATAGCAGACGGTTTTTCGAAACCTATATAAAAATAAAAACAACTTATTACTCTTATGTATTTGAAACTATGTCACAAACTATGCTTTACTGAGTGAATATCGTTATAAATTTGTTAATATTAAAATAATAAAATTAGAAAAAGAGAGACGACATGAAGAGGGAACCTGATAAACTTCTGCAATACGTATATATTGGAATTGCTAATGATTAGAATGGATAATTACCATAGTCACCATTTTCATAAAACGGAATACGTATAATCGTTTATCATAAGTAAGTAAACGCGAAAATTTATTTTTGTAATCTTATTAAAACCGGTCCAAAAAGAAAAATAAATCGCGAGAAGAATTCGAGGTTAGACATTAATATAACAAGCAAATAATGCCACACCATATGCGTAGATCCCACGTAACAATTCGTCGCGGAGACCCATATTATCGAAGGTAGGAATAACTTCGACATCTTCGCTGGTTTCAAACTCGACGTTTGATAAATCCTCTGTTTGCGCCACACGACGTGATTTATCCGCCATTTTATCAAAGCGTTTTCTCACAGAGTTCACTCGTTCACTGATGTAACGTAGTAAGACGCGATTCTACCGCGTTGCAATATAAAGAGGTTTCCTAAAAATTCTGCCTCCCGTTTTGTTTAATGAATTGTCGTTCTGAGCTTTCAAGTTCGCAGTAATAATATCCGATAACAAGTCAAAACGTTGAATGTAATTCATGGAATTTCCCTGTGCGTACTTGGCGTCATTGGATGCATTTACAAGTGTAATATCGTTCATTGAAAGCTCAGTGGACGACTCAGTGATTGGCTGCTATTGTTACAGAAATTTTTGGAATCTTAAAAATTCTCTATCGGATAGCCAATCGGTACGTCTGACAAACTCGTCGTAACTTCACGCTGGTTGGTCACATGATTGTGTCAACGAAAGAGAAATGCGATGTTTGAACGATGAAGTGAGGGAGAAGTGCGCGGTAGGAGTTTCTACCGTGATTTTATTGCGTTAGGGTGCCTTTACATGGCAGCGTCAAGCGTCTATATATATTTATTTGAGTAGAGTGGACACTTGTATTACATACGAATTGAAAGCTTCCTTTTTATTTATATTGCCCCTTGTTTTATATCAAGTAAGTGTACAAAAATTTCGATTGAGCGGTCAATTGTCGAAATTGTTGGTTATATTTATGAAGCATCAACTTTAGTAAAAGATTAAGAATTTCCGTGTTTCTTCACTGAATTTTCATCCGCTGTAAGACGAAGTGCACACACGACGAGTGTTCATTATTTATTTCTGTTAAATGCAATCAAAATTGTGTAAAATATATTCTTAATGCTTAGAGTTTTTACGTAAAGAATAATGAGTAAAGTCTGATAGAAATGGTCTAAACGAGTTGAAAATATTCATATTATTATTAACAACTGCTTATAATAAAATTCATTTTTTTTATTTGTCTTATAGTTAGCACTAATTTAGAAAAAAATAATGCAAAATTAATTAAAACTCAATTTGGTATTTAATTGTAAATACTAATCAGATACAAAGGTGCTTCTAATAGGATGGAATCCAGGACTGAATTTAAGATAAAATCACCGCCAACGGATGCAATTTCTGCGGTGGAATTTGGACCAAACTCTACACAATTCCTATTAGTATCATCATGGGACAGTACAGTACGATTATATGATATCCACGCAAATACAATGAGATTGAAATATAATCATGATTTACCAGTGTTGGATGTTGCATTTCAGGTATGTAAAAATTATTTCTCTCAATGGTAAATTTTTTTTATCACAAGATTGCTTGCAGGATGCTGTCCATGCATATAGCGGTGGGCTAGGAAATACTTTAAAGATGTACGACATAAATAGTAATACAGGTATTATTATGTTTTCTTTCTTAATTTCGCTATTTATACATAATGTTAGAATCCCATAATGATAACTTTGGCGAAAGTTATCATTATGGGATATTGATAGTTTTATATATCCGCCAACAGAGCCCAATACTTTGTTGCAAATGGATATAATGCCATCATACAAGCCTCTTAATCAGAATTATATACATAGTGATTTGACTAGATTCAAGTTTAAAACTTTCGATTACTAGGCAACAGTTTTAACATAGAGTTCTAACCATTTTTCCTTAGAATTGCATACATGTAATGAAAATAATTATAGAATCAATAATGGGTACACATGACAAGCCAATCAGAAAAATAGAATATTGCGCGGCCGTAAATGCCATACTAACTGGCGGTTGGGATGCTGCGGTGAAACTATGGGATCCACGAACACCCACTTGCGTCGGTAGTTATTTGCAACCGGAAGTGGTTCTGGCTTTGTCTGTATGTGGTGACAAATTTGTCGTGGGAACAGCGAAACGGAAAGTTTGTATTTGGGATTTGAGAAATATGGCAGGCATGTTTCAAAGAAGAGAAAGCAGTCTAAAATATCAAACGCGCTGCATTAAAGGTTTTCCTAACGAGCAGGTGCGCATTTCTCTTTTGCAAACATTCTGTATATTTTATTTAATTCTTACATAAAACTACTTATATTAAGCTCTTACCTTTTTTTCATATTTAATATTCTACTTATACAGGGATATGTATTAAGTAGCATAGAGGGTCGAGTTGCTGTCGAATATCTTGATACAATGCCAGAAGCTCAGAAGAAGAAGTACGCGTTCAAGTGTCATAGAATAAAAGAAAATAATGTTGAGCACATTTATCCAGTCAACGCCATTAGCTTTCACTCTGCATATAACACATTTGCTACTGGCGGTTCGGATGGTTATGTGAACATCTGGGACGGTTTTAACAAGAAACGTCTGTGCCAGTTCCATCGTTATAATGCCGGCGTAGCTGCACTTAGTTTCAGTCATGATGGTTCTGTTCTCGCGATAGGAGTCTCGTATTTAAACGAAGCTGAAATTCCTCCGGGCGGCAGTGACGAACGAGAAATTTATATAAGATATGTCAATGATCAGGAAACTAAGCCAAAATAAAAACTGATATTGCACAAAAGAGCGTGATTATAAAAAGACTTACTAGACAGACGCGAATCTCCTCAATGTATATTCATTTGAAGCAAGAAGAAAAGGTGAAAATGGAGAGAAACGCATCGTGTAACAAATTGTAAATAAATATTTGATTATTAATTTATATACATTTCGATGCAAAAGATAATATGTCACGTTAAGATTTAAATTATTAGATTTAACAAAAAAAAAATGCGTTTATAAAAATATTTTTTATTTTCAGTAAACAGATTAGATTTTGTGCCTATAAATTCTTTTGCTATTATTATTGTATCCTATGATATTAGTACTTCTTTTTCAATATATTCAGTACGATCCCAATATTTTATATCTCTCTTTATCTTCTTCATTACAAAAATATTGAAGTATTTAAGATAAATACTTCAATACTCTAAATATTCTTAAATACAGTAAAAATAATGATCTCTTTAATTTATATGTATAGATATACATAATTACATGCACATACCATACATATATATAACTAATAAAAACATATATACGTTTATAGATATATTAAATATTTGATACAATATAAATTATACTTTTTACTGTATATGATAAAAAAGAATAAAAGTTTTTGTACTTTTAATAAGATCATAAAGATAAAAATATAGATGCAAATAGATTAAAATAAATGATTGTGTGTATATTGTATAAAATTTATATATTTACTAAATAGCTTTTATTAACCAATACAATAATTGCAAACAAGCTACAACATTTTAAGGATAAATGATATTTTTTATTATGTACGTATCAATTGACATTAATTCTGGAAACTTTCACTCAAAAATCGATCCCTAGAAAACGAAATACGCATTATCAACGAGATAGCAATTTGTTAATAAATCTGTTTCAGCATAAAAAGAGAAAATAACTTTTTGCCCATTGACCGTAAATTTTTTTTCCGATAAAAAAAATGCAGTTATTTCCCTTCTCTATTTTTTATTGCAGCAATTTCATACTTTAACTTTCAACATAAAATAGTACAGCACTCTCTTCTCTTAGAAATATGTACAAAGTATTTAAAAGTACTCAATTATGTAAGATACTTGGATGCAAATAAAGCAAGTACAATTTTTCAGTCTTTAACGTTGAATTGTAACAAACTATTGTTGTTCAATAATTAATTGTAATATAGCAACGTAATGTTATGCTAAACTTTTTTTACAATATTTCAAATTCTGAGCTTTATTGTCACTATAGCAATTGCAGTCGCGTTTATTGAAGAAACATTTATTACTCATTACTACGTTGAAATGAACCAAAAACAATTACATTGCAAATATTATAATTAAATCATAATCTGAGTGTTGCAATTTCTAACTGTACAATATATTTCGATATCTTACATGATCTTAAGAATTGTTATCTTAAAGTTTCTTGAAAATTGAGTATTTTGACATCCAAAATAAAGGGTGCTATATTCGATTACACGATAATTTAGAATGCAAAGTATACCAATTTATATTTCATTTTTTTAAAAACTTCATAAGATGATTAAGGCAAGTCAAAAAACATATTTTCATATAATAGCCAAATCAACATACAGTGCACATATTATAATTTTGTGTATTATATGCACATGTATATTTATTACATTTTTCTTCAATGATCTCTATATAACATTCGGAATAACAATATATGTACATAATATTTAACAATTTGTACTAATGATCTTTTCCCTGCTTGCTTTTGGCGGAATGCCATAAAATAACAAAGTAATTAATTGTCCTATCATTATAATGCATCTATTACAATATATCTTCGTTCTTACTATCAACGACGTTTTTGTGCACAAGTTTTCTTTTTCTTTTCATCAAATTAATTTCAGATTTATGCTTATTTTTCATTAAAATATATATAATCTATGTTAAATGATAAAATGATAAAATTATTAATTGTTAATTATATACAATTAATAATTATAACAATCATATGTATGTATGTATGTATGTGTGTATGTGTGTGTTTATATTTATTATGATTACAATAATTATCTAAAAATTTAAAATTATAATTATAATTATATATTTATAATTATAATTAACAATTATTATTCCGTAATATTATAACGGCAGCTTTCCAATATTTATTCTATTATCTATTAGTTCTATGTATCACTATCTTCACAAATGACTTTCCTTAGTGCGTCCCGTATTGTATCATGCGTAGCAAAGCTGATTCCAACTGCAATGGGACCTTTAACCCAATTCATGCTTAAGCCTTTGTAAAAAGCCATTATTCCTTCCTCCCTACAAAATGCAAAATTTTTCCAGGCAAAATGAATAAATAAACAATATAATTCTGCATATATTATGCAATTATATTTATTATAGAAGATAGCAAAATATATTGCATCTCATATCAATACATAAATGCATATAGCAGAATATATTGCATCTCATATCGGTATATAAATGTATTATGTGTATTATATTACGAAAAGAAAATTATTATATAATTAAATATTCTTTCGTCTTTTTTCAAATTTTTAAAAAAGATATTTAAATGTTTTGTTCTAGATGGCTATATCTTGTTTCTATTGATAATTCAACTACTTGAAATAACAAAATATAGTTATTATTTTATTATTACAGTATCTCTGATGCTATACTTACGTGTAAATCTTCGTGATAGTCGATGTAATCGTATGATAATGCTGGCCCTTGATCGCCGATGTCTGCATTCTCCGCCGCACAATGTCCAGTGGGTAGCTGCTTGTCTGACCGACCATTCCAGCGATGCCACCGCAAATGAGTGAGGTCGAGAATCCCGGAATAGTCACCGTGTACACTGTTCATCGACACGTAGCCATCATCGAACATGAAGCACGCAGCACTTCGAAATACGCCGCCGGTCGGGCTTGTCTCGCGTCGCTATTAAAATAAGTACCGTCCCAATATCAGGGGAAACAGGGTGCCCCCGACGTGCCCCATCGGTACCCTGCTTTACGATCATATACAATAGCCACTCTCATTCGTATAACCCACGACTCTTTTTCTTTTCGCATGTATGTATGCGTGTGTGTATATTTGATGAGTACAAGCACCGCCACCGCCAGCGGGCGTCAACAGAATTTATCTGTGTGAACAAATCGACTCACCAGTCAGTAAGTATCTCAACATGTCGTATGTGAAGAAGCTGCACCCGGCATAAGGGATTGCGCCGAGAAGCGTAGCGGTGAAGCCACGATAATACGCGAGAATTCCCTCCTCTTTGTAGATTCGCGAAAATGCCTGCCGTAGAGTCTTATATTCGGCCTTCAGAGTCACCGCCATTCTCGCCCGCATCAGGTCCAACGGATAAGTCATGGTCTGCGACGTGACGCCTGCAAGGGCACCAGCCAAAAAACTCGCCCATGGCTTTTTTCTGTAAATGATTCACAATACACAGAGATAAAATTTTCGCCAAATATCTTTTCTTGATTTATGTGGTTTGTTTGATGAATATATCTATTATATATAGATTTTCTATTTGGTACCTCTCCGCGCCATTCACCCTCAGGATTCTCTTCCACTGTTCGTGTGCCGTAAACTGCACCGCAGAATATGGCACGATCCTAATCATGGTAGCACTATTTCCACGCCATAAGCTGAGGAGACCTTCGGTACGCAACGCTTTGCTCAAGAAACCTATCGCCGCTCTGGCCGAGTAGGGCTGTTTCGAGATCTGAAAATTGATCTTCGTGCGGTCTAACGGCGCTATCGTGGTCTTCGCCAGAGCGCCTGCTACTGCGCCAGATACTAAGCTCGTCCAGACTCTTTGAGTATTCGAAATCTCTTTTCCGCTGCATTTTTTCTGCTTGTTCTGTAACATAAAAATGTTTTTGTCAATATGTAAAGATTACCATAAATATGTATATATAATGATTATAATTCTAGGATATTATTTTAGCACGCAAATAATTTTAAAGTCTTTTTATGGCAAACGAATGACAAATGCTCGCGTTATGGACCTGATATAATATTATATAATTTGCATATGTGACGATATATGATTAAATAAGAATATTTAATTCCAGGTTTTTCTCATGTTTTTTCAGAAAGTAAACATCCTGTGTTATAACAAATACAGCTCGTTTCCAATGCGTTTTCTTACCGTGATATCCACATCTTGCCTCTCCATTGGAACCGATGTGGCAGGCGATGTTGACGAGACGTGTTTTCCAGCGATCGGCAGCACAGCAACTTGAATGCAGTGTTCGAGAACCACTTGACCACCGGGATCGCCAGGACGGGTCGCATGTCCGCTCATCTCTGGTGTTTGTTACTCCGTTACCGATGATCTCTCATATAGATCGTCGTCTCACTTTTCGTATCGCTGACGTACGTGAACCAGGATAAAATAAGCACTGCAAATATATCGCTCATTTTATGGAGTCTCTTAAATAGCAAAGATAACGAAATATTTTCAAATTTTTGAATTTTTATATGTCGGATTAATATCCTAGAAAAAATTAAAAATTAGAAATTAAAGAATATAGATATTCTAACTTTCTTTCACGATTTTTATCGATTGTCTTCTTATTTCTCTTATATTTCCTTACCAACAATCAGTCCAAAATTGATAATTTTTGTCTGTAAGCTTATACCATCATTTATCTATATCATGGTATCTATGATACTAAATGCAATAACTTATTATTGTGTGAGATATAAAGTATATATCGCTTGATAAGGAATAGAATTTACATAAAAACAAAATAACTGACGATGAGTTGCATTACATAAAAAAAAAAGATAAGAATACGAGTCGAATACGATGAGTTGGAGTAAGAAACAAATGGAGAATGTTTGGTGTTATCTTTTACTGGTACTGGATGGATAATGCTGACGCCAATGAGCTCAAAGTACATGTCGTAATTGTAACAGATTTGCAATCTATAAACGTAGAAGCTATAAAGTCTAAGTGATGATAATATAAATGCCAATTACTTTAAATCCATATACGATATATTCTCATCTGAAAATATTTCCAAAACAACAATAAGAGACTTGTTCGATTTTAAGGTTTCTTGATAAACGTATTATATTGACTATTGAGTCTAAAAGTCTAAATGATAAAAATTATATACGAGCGTTTTCTCTTACATATTGTATATAGTCAGGTACAGTAATCAAAGATATAAAGATGTCAAGATCATTTTTTATTTTTCTAAGACAAAAAAAAACAATAAATTTTGATAAATACGAAAGTTTTGATTTTTTTTCTAGAGGGGGCTATTATGCCAAATGTGAAATAATGTTCAAGAAATCTAATATTTTGCTTGTACCATTTTTCTGAAAATAGATATCAATATATAAACGATTGCAATAGTGTTTTTCCTCATTCTTGAGAAATTTTTCCGTCTTTCGGACAAGTTTGCCTAACTTCTTTAATCATTCCAATTTTTCCAAATATTTATTCCTTTCTCATGCGCGCGTTCTTATCGCTCGTCATGTGGTACGATAATTGTATGTATGTATTGAAAAGATATAAATACAGTCATAAATGATTGTTTATGTGACAAATGTCACTATCGAAACACATTATTATATACTAATCTTTAAAGAGGAATATATCGCTGTTATAACAGACTATCTCATAACTCAGTATATGTATTGTTTTTCGGAGAAAAAACTACATTTGATAGAGTACAAATTATTCGAAAAAATATAAAATGACATTTTTTTCGAGTTATTCAAAGTTCAAAAAGACAAACTATACGGTTGCAAATTTACGCCACGTAATACTTGACGAATAAATTTGCTTTATAAGTGGAAACCATTGGAGTATTTTTAGAAATTTACGATATTAACATCCTGCTCTCTTGTAATCCAAAAGAAGATTTATCTCGAATCCAAATATATCTACGGTTAAACGCGAGTCTATGAAAATTGGATTCAATTCTCAGAGTGATCTCAATCCATTATAAAATATTATAAAACATGTTAGCGCGAAAATAATATCGTCGATCTTATGTAATATTATCGACCTATATAAGAATCTGCGAACAACGCGAGAAAACATGCACGATTGATGAGAGAGAAACACATTATATAATTATACAATTACGTTGTTAGAGCACGTGACAAACAAGTTACGGTACGTAAATGCGTGCGATCATCATGCTGTTATATTGGATATTATAGATTCTTCATTCGTATAGCCTTCAACTTTACTTAATTTTCTACGTTCGATTTTTGAATATTTTACGCTAATTAACGCAAATTTTATGCAAATTCAAAGTTTGTACTTGATCAATGATGCGAGAAGTTTAATTTAATTATTTTAATATTCTCTTTATTAATATGACCGAATAATCATTGATAAATTTATCGACATTAGTATATTAGTATCGAGCTTGAAACATTATTAACGAGCAATCTATATTTCATTAAGAAAAATGATTGGAGCATTCGAAATGCTAAAAATAACTTCATCGAAAGAATTATAAGTGCCGGTCTACAATAGGTGATTTAAGATTTAGCCTTTGTTTTAAGAGAAAAATTACATCGATCCTAGCCTCAAGCTCTAAGCTTTAAAAGATGGGAGTTGGCCAACTCGCTTAGGGCTTAGAGATTAGGGCTTAAGGCAGCGCGAGAAATGTTTAAGGCCGAAAATACGTCATAGTTTAGAGGTTAAGTCATAAGGTTTAGGGCTTAAATCGCCTATTGTAGACCGGCACTAAAGGTCAATATCACGTCACTCTAACACATAATTTATTTAAATTTAACTCGATTCTCGTTTTCTCAATCTGTTACATTTCTTTAAAAAATTAATTTATGTCCATCTAAAAAGCGACAGGGAATCGTTTAATAATTGGAGAAGAAACACGAGTGATCGAATGATATTACAAAAATGTCTAAGAAACGTTTTCCATTTCAGATGCCCTTTGGACTTTTGTATTGTTTACGAAACTGTCATAATCAAGATGTCGATGTTGCGAGAGATCGCCTTAAAGGTCAATCGTGACACCCTCAGCTCAGATGATTGATAAGAACTTTTTGTTTCTTTATTTATAGCTCTTGTTCACGATTTGAGTAACGACGACAGGAAATCTCCGAGTAAAGTGCGTCGACATGTAGAGCGACAATATACGTATATATGTATAACATTCCGCGGGGATACGTACTTTACACAATTGAATACTGCGTATCGCAAACGTGTATTGTGCATTCGTTTGAAAAGCCACACGTCATAACTAATTCATCTGCGCGGACAGAAAATACGGAAAACCTCTCGTGTTTCTTTCATTAAAAAGAACTATTGTCTCGCGACACCATAATCATCAAACTCGGCACAACGGAAAAAAAAAGATCGGATATTATTCGCGTTTTTTCCTCGTCAATCGATATCACTTAACGAGAATTACCAATAATATAAGCAAACCAACCTTGTTGTCTTGTAATCCTGAATGATAATAACGTTGTCTCGAAACAAATCACATTGCATTCCTAAACCTGACCACGTCCGCGACAGTCTGCAAACTGCGGACTCGAAACTCGAAACTCCCACGATTCAGTGTCGACGTGCGAGCGCATGCGCGGCGATAGTTAAGCCCATATCGGATTGGCTGTTGTAGCAAAAATTCTAGGGATTTTCCATCAGGATTCTAGGAATTCTTTATTCGCCAATCCGTATGTCCGATAAGTCAATCCTAGCCAATAATTTTCTATTCTCATGTATCTTGTTATTTTTAATCTATGGGCGAAAATGCCAATCTTCTAATCATATACTCTTTGATTTGCGTGTGCATCTTTTACACATAAAAAGGTAGGAATCAATCGCTGGGGAATGAGAGAGATGAAATTAAGATTTTAATGTGTAGCGAAAAATAACAACACTAAAAACTGCGTACGCGAATTTACACGAATGCATATATTCATGTGCATCGAATTAAATACTTAATAAGGTATTAAATTTAAACATATAATGTTTCACTCAACTTGTGCATGGTTTTAAGTTTACACTAAAACTTACTTACGTGATTTCGTTAGAAACGAAATAAATGAAGCGTTTAAATCTGTAAAAAATTATAAATATGATTAAGATTATATCCTAAATCTTTTTATTACAGCCATTCAGCATGGACGCTAAAACTCTTCCGAGTCTCCTGAGCTTGAAAGTGGCCCCTCCATCAGAATTACAAAATCAGAATGTTGACAATGGAATTGGAGAAGGAGACAGCGGTTCTGTTAAGCTTCCGGCTGCTTTGGAGCAAGCCTTGGCATTTAAAACAGAGAGAGCCAAAGAAGTGGGTAGTGATCCTGACGACGTTATTTCTGACAGTAAATCACCAAAAGACGATGGCGAGGATGCTACTCAGATAGAAGATACCATAACGGAAATAGAACAAAAATCAGAAAAAATAGAATCTAAATTGAGTAAGACAAAAAAGAAGAAAAAGTCAAAGAGGAAGAGGCGCAATGCAGAAAAGAAGGATGCCGAACAGAAGAAGGACAATGTGGAGGGTGCTAAGAATAAAGAAGATTTGCCAGAAATTGAGTATATACAAGAAATACCGAGCATAAATGATTTAGAACCAATGTACCGTCAATTTGCTAGGGTCTTTGAAGCATTTAAACTGGTCGAACCGGAACCGAGTCCGAACGATGCGGCTGACAAGGGTGAACCTATCGGGCAGTATCCGCCAGTAACAAATATACAAACCACCGGCACCGGTGTACCGAGTAAGGTGCCACTGTTGGACGATTTCGACGACGATGCGAATCAGCAACAGCAACAACAGGGCACTGGTGAGAATGGTGCTCCACGACTATCTAAGAGAAAACTCAAAAGGCTCACACGGCTAAGCGTAGCGGAATTGAAGCAACTGGTAGGTCGTCCAGATGTTGTGGAGATGCACGATGTTACCGCGCGTGATCCAAAACTGCTTGTGCAATTGAAGGCGCACCGAAATACGGTCCCGGTACCGAGACATTGGTGCTTCAAGCGCAAGTATCTTCAAGGCAAACGTGGTATAGAGAAACCGCCCTTCGATCTACCAGACTTTATAAAACGCACCGGTATCACGGAAATGAGAGCGAGTCTGCAAGAACGCGACGATACGCGTACACTGAAAGCGAAGATGCGGGAGCGAGCGAGACCCAAGTTGGGTAAGATCGACATCGATTATCAGAAGCTGCACGACGCCTTCTTCAAGTGGCAAACAAAACCGCGCATGACGATTCACGGCGATCTCTATTACGAGGGTAAAGAATTTGAGACGCGTTTGAAGGAGAAGAAACCGGGAGAGTTGTCGGACGAGTTGCGCACAGCGCTGGGCATGCCAGTCGGACCGAATTGCCAAAAAGTACCACCGCCGTGGCTTATAGCTATGCAACGTTACGGCCCGCCACCGAGTTATCCGAACCTCAAGATACCCGGTTTAAACGCGCCCATTCCAGAGGGTTGCGCCTTCGGTTATCACGCGGGTGGATGGGGGAAACCGCCGGTGGATGAAACCGGTAGACCGCTTTACGGAGACGTGTTTGGCGTGTCTCGCACATCCGGTGCGGATGCGATGGATGAGGAGATAGATCGGGGAATGTGGGGCGAACCGGAATCGGAGTCGTCGGGCGATGAGGATGAGGATGAGGACGCCGAAGAGGGCGGCGAGGGTGGCGAGGGCGAAGGAAAGGATGGAGATGACGACGCCAGCGGATTGGTCACGCCCGGCGCCGAAGGCTTGATCACGCCAAGCGGCATCACGTCGATCCCGGCGGGTCTGGAGACCCCAGAGACTATCGAGCTGCGGAAGAAAAAGATTGAAAGCGAGATGGAAGGCGGCGATACGCCCGCATTGTACACGGTACTGCAGGAACGCCGTACGGATGGTTTGGGTGCCAGTATGATGGGCAGCACGCACGTGTATGATATGACGGGTGCAGCCGGTGGCCAGGCGCCACCGTCTGTAATCGCTGCGCGTCGCGGCGGAATCAGCGGTAGCACAAGCGATGCTCGTGCGGAGAAGGACGGGGCGGTGGAGCTGACGCTTGATCCCAGCGAACTGGACCTCGACTCCGAAGCGATGGCGTCCAGGTACGAGGAGACGATGAGATCGAGACAAGCGCATCTTAGGAGAGAAGATCTATCGGATATGCTGCAAGATCATGTACAACGGCAAAAGGTATGTATACTATCAGTTACATTGTGTATATATCACATATAAATATATTACATGCGTATAATTATATAAATAGATATTGTAATTTTGAACTGTATTACTTTTGTTTTTGTGTTTCAGAGCAAACGCAAACGTCAGCAAATCCAGGACACGAAAACATCCAAGAAATATAAAGAGTTTAAATTTTAAACATTCTATTATTTTCCCGCGTGATTATGTATTATATTATATAGATATGAAATTGTTTGAGGTAGCATAAGATTCGATTTAATGTATTGCACCACTTTAACGAGATCACAAAACACTGTTTAATAGTGATTACAATTTTGTATTTCATGTTTGCCAAGCTATATGGTTGGACGATAATAAATCGAATCAGCCGTGTATATTTACGACATACACATTGACGACAGTAATGGATTAATGATAATATATTAGGAGCTGAATATTTTTCAAAATAAATATAATTATATCCATTTTTTATGTAATACAAACAGGAACGACTACAATGTTGTGTAGAAAATGCAATTTTTTATCAGATACAACACACAGATGTATTTGTTCAATTTTTTAATTATACATTTCATTATAGTAACAGTGGCAACAATACATGGCACCAAATATGGATAGTTGATTCACACACAATTCATTAATGTAATGCACTGTCGTACTTCAAGGTTTCTTGTATTGAATTTTATATTGCAATCTATAATATATTCTCAAAACAATCGTCTATAAACAGGTGGATGTTTAAAATGCACGATTAAAACAACCCACTCAAACTTTGGTCCAACAAAAGGTAATAATGTAATTATGTCTCTTGTTATAATTATATATATAATTATACTATGTGCCTCTTTTGAGGTAGTAAATCGATCCGGAATCGTTTTAAATCCAATTCCATAAGTGGATATGAAAGACATCGCAACAGTACAAAAAGACAAGGAAGAGAAAGAGCGATAATAAACTTACTGATAGCGCTACCGATGTCGAGCCAACTGCCGTACGGCGTGACACAATGCATTAAAGGTAGCGATATGCAATCGCCTAAAAAAAGAATGGCTAAAGAAACAGGCTTCTTGTATTCTGATTCTAGTGAATAGCTCGCGCATCCGACTAGTATCAAGGGAATGCTAAGTTTGAAAAGTATTAAAGATGTCATTAAAAATGGAGAAAAAACAGTAACAAAGTGACGCGTCCAAGATGGATCAAACGAACTGATGCTCGCCATATTACCTGTGCCGAAGAAACACAATAGTATGTACAACATCTATAATAAGATGTTAAGGATATGTATAAATGATAATAGATGTGCCTCATATGAATTAAAAGAATATCGTTAAAAAATTAAAGATAACAGGTAAATTTTAGTTTGTTTTCCTAGAAAGAGTCTAAATAATATACAAGATTCCTTAGTTACAATATTAATTTAATAATCTATATTTTTCTCATTTGTCTAATTAATTAAAAATATCTGATATAAATATCACCAACTCTTCATGGAAATTCTTGTGTAACAATAAAAAAATCTTTTTAAAAGGATACAAAAAATGCTGCTTTGATCAAGTCTTTTGTAATCTTTTGTGTATTTCCTGAGCTCCTTGAAGTGGCTTGTAACCAACAAAGTAAATTGATTGTAAGTATAATGAAGAAGAGTGGCTCATAAGACGCAGACAATAATGTAAGAGGACAGAAAAATCCAAGCATTATGCCCAGCATTCTTCTCTTAGTTTCTGTTGGATAATACCAAATGCACAATGGTGTAGTCAGTAAAATAATCCACAATATCCAGTATCTACCATCGAGAAATTCTGTGTACACGAGGCTTGTAACGATTAAACGTAAAATTTCCATTATTCTCCGACTCTGCGATGTCTCATTGATAATCATTATCGACATCGCTACCAAAATGCCAATTATCCTGAAAGAAGAACTTAAGTCAATAAAAAAATCATTATTAAAAATACAATATTACTAGTGAAAGAAAACAAAAACCAAGCAAACTATTTAGCAATTTAATATCTCTTTTTTTATTAAAATATCGTTAAATAACTTTTAATGATGTAATTGTTTTCAATATAAACATACACAATATAGACGCGTGGATATGGTTCCACGACTGGCAATAAAGGAAATGCACATAATGCTATCGACGTCCAAATCATAAATACTGGTACATTTTCCGACTTTGCTATTCGTATCAATATGAGAGAGAGTATTCCTATGCTGAGAGCAAATCTATATGTTAATCCAACAAATAGTATTACTAATAACAACAGTGTGCCTCCGATATCTATGAAAAGTTTCTTTTTGTTTCTTTTTGCAAATACAGGCGTCGACGTAATTATTTTAGCAATGGCAAACCATATAGATATTATGGCAAAGCATATGTAGCATGGTAATCTCCAGTTGTTGCAATCTGATACTATATACACAAAGTATATCAAATATATTACATAACAAAAGATCCATTTTTTATAAGTAGAAAATAGTAAAAATCATGATTTGATCTAAAAAAAACTTAAGTGAAAAAAAAAGTTTAAGTTAAAAACTTGAAACTTATAGCAAAAAATTACATATCTTTTGTATCGACTTAAAAAAATGCATTTAGAAATAAATTTCTTACCTGCATGTCCGATTAATATTATTATCAGTAGACTTGCAAATCCGATATTTATAACTACTAGTAGAGAGATTCGCAAACATCGACGCTTTGTTCCAGTTATTTTCAAGAATAATATAACTATCCAGCCAAGCCACATTATCGACAGATATAGCAAAAATCGTATTCGCTGATATTGTCTGAAATATGAAAAGGCTTTTTTGCCAAAATTAATTGCTTCTTCACTCTCTCGAATTCCATCTATTATACTTCCTTCGTCAAAATATTCTTCGATTTTACGAATTCTATTATTTAATTGCATTTCTCGCCAATCAGTACTAGTCTCGCCATTTATCGCACGATTTCCAGTTACTTGATGTGCAAGTTGTTTTACATTGCTGAGTAAAAAATGTCCAACATATTCCTGATAATTTGTATCAAAGTATCGCCATGGTAATGCACCCTAAGAGAATATTTCATGTGAATATTTTAAATAACACATATATTAAATTATATACTATATATATATTAAATGCAAACACTTACTTCATTATTTACAGGAACAGGAATTCTTATCAAAGACGCTATCAGAGGAGCTATACTCGCTTGTTCAATATCTTGACGAAAGCCAGATAATTTTACTCCTGCTCCCCAAACAATTAATGGTGTTTCAGTCTCGGACGGCAAACCACTTCCATGAGATCCCCAATCTGTCATTCCATGATCTGCTGTGAATACATAAGCAGTGGTACCTTTTCCAAAAAAGTTCTCTGTCATATTCACAGCTTCTTCAATTCTCAGATCAACATAGTTCATGTTTTCAATATATTCCCTAAATTCAAATTTCTCTTTTATTAATGAATCTGCATTTTGTACTTTAAAACACTACAGCAATCAGCAACAAATTTTCAATACCTGGAATATGGTTTTTTAGCATGTCCTAGAGTATCACACCCAAGTAAATGAAAAAACAAGATGATTCCATTCTGATTTTTCAATGTTTCAGCTACCGAGGATTGTAACCATTCCAAATAAGCATTAAAAACCCATGAATCCAAGCGCATTGTCTGATTATTTAAATTTGAATCAAAATCCTGCCATGTGGAAGGATAACTTCTTCCATGTACATTTCGTTTGCTACCTGCCTTTTCGAGATTTTGATATAAGCATGAGTAAACAAAAATTGATAATGCTACCGCTTCCTTCTAGAATACCTTTTGTGAACATTGGAATTATATCTGGACTGCCCCAAGCCCAAGTTGCATAGCTTTGATTGAAGACAGAATCAAAATCCACTGGATTTTCCTGCCATCCCTTGAAGATAGCACTGGGATCCTCGTACAATCCTGCTGCAATTGCGACATGCCCTGGTCTTGATTCTGTAGGCACTCTTGTATGAGATATTCCCCAAACTCCTTTATTGGTCATTATATCTCTGCAAAACAGATCTAATTCACTAAAGTATGCAAATATTGAAACATAACAAAATATAAATTATATTATTATTAATATATTAAAATTTATATATATATAGACTATAATACAAATTTTTTTTTTAAATTTAGTATATATACTGAAAAGTAATCCAAATAAAATTAAATTCATCTCTTTCTCTCCCTCAATAATATTATCAATATATTTAAAAATTAATTAATTAAACAAAATCAAAATAAGAAAAGCGGAATTGCTCCGTTTTTGAACAATGAGAAAAATACCTGAGAAAAGGTGGTGGCTTATCTATGAATGTTTGAAACCTCAAACCATCCGCGATGAAAAGTAACACCCTTTTAGCCGGTGATCCACTCGGTACTGATACAACCGGCAATTCTTTAATGATAGGCGAATGAAAATTAACATCAAGCACACCCCATAATAAAATCAAATGCACAATCAATCCCCATAGACCGAACAAATAATCGTTGCCCGTTTCGATCAATTGCTTCTTATATTTTCCTGGATTAGACGATCTATTGTTTGTTATATTTTCCTGGATTTGACAATTCGCGATATCGAGTAACTTTTTCACGAACATTTTTAATAATTTTTAAAATTGACACAAAACAATACGCACACACGCACCTACGCTAAGTATTAATCTAGCAAAAACATATCGAGGTCGAAATATCGAACAAAAATTGTATAGAAACCGCTATTTTAAAATTTCTCCATTTTCTACTGCATTCTAATAACATGCGCATAAAACAAAAATTACATTGTCATAGCTTTATTTTTCATTCATTATTTCTTTTTTTTCATTATCTAATCAATGCACTTAAAAAGTTTGTCGTACGACAAATGTAATATCGGCCTAACGCTTTCTCTAGCCTAGAGTTCCTGTAATCAAAGTTAGGACAATACGCCATTTATAGCCAAATTGTTACGCGCCAATTTTGAATTGATACATTTCACTTGACATCTATACAATACATTTACGGACTGCGAATCGTCATCCATCCAGTCAGAACGAAGTAGCCAAGAATCTGATTGGATGATTGACGATTCGCAGTCTGTAATCCAAATCCGACCTGCGTCCGCAATGCTTAGTGTGACACGGGCTTAACGCTTTCTCTAGCCTAGAGTTCCTGTAATCAAAGTTAGGACAATACGCCATTTATAGCCAAATTGTTACGCGCCAATTTTGAATTGATACATTTCACTTGACATCTATACAATACATTCGCCGTACGGAAAGAATCTTTTAGGCCTAGTTCCACAATTTACTTTAACCGAAGATATGGCGGATTGCAATGAACGACAGCCAAATTTTTTATTTCGCGAATTTGATTTCGGCAAATTAGATTAGGCACGAGAAAATAAGATATCTAAGTAATTAAATTATTTGAAATTTGGAATTAAAGAGTATCTTTTTAACATTTTTATATTTATATCTTTTCGATCGAACAATTTATATAAATTTTGAGTATTTACTTATTTAAACAAACAAGATAGTTATTTTTATTATAAATCTATTAAGAATCAAAAAAATATAATTACATGAGAGGCATAAGTTACAAGAATAATTGTAAGAATTTTACATTTTTTAAAAACGCAAAACTTTAGATGCAAATTTTATTATCACATTTATCTACACTTGTTTTAAAATTATCTAGATACATAGGCAGATATATATATATATATATATATATATAAATATATGCATTTTTACATAACATATATAGTTAAAAATCTTCGCACAGGATTAGTACAATTAAATTGTGATTTGAAATTAAATTACAATATATAGCGCAAAAAAAAATTGTTATTATGTACATTTTGTTACGAATGCATCTTTTTTAATACCAGCAGCAGTCAATATTTGTATCTCAGATTATCTTCCTAAGTGATGTATTTCAAAGAGAAATATAAAACGTTTAACTAATTTTATCCATTTTTAATTCTTTATAATAGGTTATAGCACGCTCTATCAACGATCTGCTTTCGCTTTCTGTACTGGCTTCTGTTGTATTTTTACTATTTTTATTAGAACTCTTCTTCATATTATCCTCTAAATTATCATCATTGTTATTTATTTGCTGCAATACAGGTTCAGGTAACTTGTGCTTTGTATGCTTGGCCAATTCACCGATCGCACTTTGTAGGTAATGGATTCGAGCTTCCTGTTGCAAAGTAGTATTGTACAATGCCTGAATATCATCTGTAAACTTCTGTATCTGCATCTGACGGAGCTCCTCTTTTTTTGTCTCTTTTGCGACTTGTCTATTATACTCCAATATTACACATCCACCAGCTACGCCGAAAATAATCAACTCGCCCATTAAATTAGCACCCAATTCAATAGCCATAGTTTCGTTCAGTTTTGCCACCTTTGTAGGCTTACCAAGATTCATGATATACATCTTTGCTTTTACTTCCGCCCAATGATAAACTACAAACGTTGACAATTATACTGTATAATAGAAAGAGCTTGTAAACGGAATAAACAAATACTTACATTGAGCAGGTGGCATGATAAAGTAAGTCCTAAATATTGGATGATTCTTTGCTTGAGTGACGAGAAATTTGGCTAAAGGTTTACTGATTTGTTTGATAAAAAGTACGCCCAATTTAAGGGCTGGAAATACGCCGATCGGCATTTTCGCCGTTTAATAGAGCAACAGCTTCTCATCTGCTTTCTCGATATTCTAAAAGTTTTTCAATACAAGTAAAAATAAATCACAGAATATCTCGTATATTAAACGATAGATTCGGTTCGTCGAGTAGTTTAATATGTCATATATTTCGTAATCGCCGAATCATTACCTCACTTAAGAAATTATTTTGGAATATAATATAGCAGTGGTATTATAATTAATGTCATGACAGAGATCCCTATTTCTCTTTGAGTGCTGCAAGAAGCATTGTTTCTTAGCTAGAAAGATAAACCACGTGCGAACCTCGTCACATTGAGAGAGAGACAGATTTCCGCGAATAATAATAAATCCTTTTATAAAGGTATAGTGGATTGTGCGATCAATGACAAATGACAATGGACAGATGGACACCGACCTTCCCAGGTTGATCCAGGTTGATCATTGATTAAAGATTGAACACAGATGTCTGTAATCATCTGTGGATGATCAAACGGGACGCTCCTAACGAAACGCACCCTATATGCTATACGTAAAACCGACGACGAGATCGGAGAGGACGTTTCAGAACATAACCAGATGATTTTCTCTGTCATGTATATCAATAGATATATAATCTATGGTATACATTTTTATGTCTATCTATAGTATAATTTTCTATATACTATTGTGTATCATACTAATTTTTTTAATCTATTACTTATAAATTTTTTAAGCATCTGTTTATTTTTTTTATTTTCGAAGATCAGTTTTGGAACGCACATGATAAATAAGATTTAATTATTACGAGAGGATCGATATTTTGTCGTTTTAGTTTCTTAACATTTTAATATATATTTTTTCAATTTTCTCTCTTTTTCTATACATTTCCTTTCCTATAATTAGAATTTATAGTATATATCTATAGCTAGAGTATCTTATTCTGCGCACTGCGCCGATCGTATCTATAGCTAGAGTATCTTAAGGTGCCTTTACATGGCAGCATTAAGCGTCTGCGCAGAATTTAAAAGAGATAGATTCTAGGCTGAAATTAGATTCTGCGCAATTTTCTACGCAGACGCTCGACGCTTGACGCTGCCATGTAAAGGCACCTTTATTCTGCGCACTGCGCCGATCGTATTTTGCCCTCTCGTCTTGATACATATCACACATCTCGCCCACACTCACCACACAATACATATTTACATACACCATACACACATATATATCACACGAGCTTGTCATCATAAGATTCATGTTTCGCTAGTGTTGATTAATCCAAGTTTGTAATCGACAAGTCACCGATTAATTACAGCGTGTATATTAAAATGACGTATCATTGTATTCATACGCGTGTTATCGTGGTAACTCAAAGAGCCCGTAATTTGGGATTTTTTACGCGCCCGTGACATTTTTATATCTTTACAGGTGAGGAAATGTACGATTATTCTTCCACGATATATTGGCTTCTGTATCGGCAAATGTATTTCTCGTAATCGAAATTATTATTCGCGTCATCTAACGTAATGGATAATCGAATCAGAGATGTATGATGACAAACTTCTCTTATGGAAAGAAAAAGCATGCGCGAATTCTCTGGAAATTAAAGATAATCGCTTTCCTGCATGTCAGTATAGCAATAATTGGATGAAAAAAAAAGATAAAAAAACGTATATCATAATAATACAGACATTTTTATATATGCGGATAGATACACAACGCATCTTTTATATGTGCAAATAAAAATATGTATAATAATGAATAATGAATTGAATTAGATTTCTTTTAATGAAAAGGAAAGCATTTCTGGACAAATCGTGCGAAATACGTTTATGTACGTTTTTTCCCTCTCTATTAAATCATTCATTTATTTCATTCAAAGACTTGGATAACGTGTGTAGAGTATAACTCGACGCAACGTAACGAATGCTTCTAATAACTTGTAACTCGGTTATTTACATGTTCTTGATCTTTTAATACATAAGAGAGAGATATAAACTTTGTTTTTCATATAAGAGACTATTTAAAAATATAAACTTTTCGTTCAATTTGCAATGTGTGATTTAACCCCTATTTTTAATATGAATTGAATTAAATTAGATCGAAGCCATTTGTTGAACAATAAAAAATAAAGCGTCACGATATAAGAAAATTGTTAATTTTCCAACTGCATTTATTAACTGTATAATTATTCTTAAATCATTTGATGACAATAATTTTTGTATTTTACAGATCTAATGCACTGCTGTTTGGCGATAATGTTAATAATACATTACATTGGATGTGCTCTTTATATATAGATAAAAGTTTAATCTTAGCACAATGTGGTCCTTCTTTTCAAGAGACCCTGCTAAGGATTTTCCGTATGATATCGGAGAACCTATCCCAGGCTTGGAAAACAAGAGTATCTGGACACTGCACAGAGCTAAAAGAAAGGTAATTCAATTAGATATAATATAAATGATACTTCTCCTTCCTAAAAGCACTATATAATTTACAATAGTAAATTAATTTATATTTGGCACAAAATCTTTATAATTTTATGTATATGTCTATATTGAAAATATTATTTTTGTCAACATAAAATCTTGTATAGGGCACCACAACAGGTGAGGATGTTTCAGTTTTTGTCTTTGATGTTAAAAATGGAGGAGAGCAACAATTGGACATTGTTCGCTCAGCTGTAAAGAGGCTTAAGACACTTAGGCATCCAAGCATACTTGCGTATCTTGATAGTCTTGAGGTATAAGTTGTAACGATTTACAATAGTTTAGTATTATAATTCTCTGTAAACAGAGATGTAATCTATACTTTTGTGTATGTGTTACTTTAGACTGACAAAATGGTTTACTTAGCCACAGAATATGTGGAGCCATTGTATAATCGTTTGACACAGAAATGCAATTCCGAAAACGATTCCAAGAAGGAATTATACTTTTCCTGGGGTATATTTCAAATTACAGTATGTATAAATGAATATCGCATATTATATTGGAAATTTTTAAACAATATACACCGAAAATCTATAATACATATTACTTCAATTTGATGGCAGAGGGCACTTAACTTCTTAAATAATGATGGGAATTTACGGCATAATAATGTCAATCTATGGACAGTGTTTGTTAACGAAGAAAGCGGTGAATGGAAACTCGGCGGTGTTGAGTACATGACGGCTGTGGATACGTTATACAATTTCTTACCTCCAACTTTTCAAGTATATCAACCACCAGAGGCTAAAGAAAATACAAAACCATTAACTAAATGGTAAATGATCGTATTAATTTTATCAAAATTTTAAGTAACTATATCTATAAACACATGGTACAATATAGTATGATATGGACGTTTACAAATACACGCGTTTAGATTTTTAATGTTAGCATAAAACTGATAAATAAAAACAATAGCTCAGTTGATATGTGGGGACTCGGCTGTTTAATCTGGGAAACGTACAATGGCATTCTTAACACGAGCTCGCAGCTTAAAGTTACAGGCCAAGTAAGTTATTCACTCATCTTAAGTTATATTTTATTACTGAGATATAATATCTATCATGGATCAATTCTTTTTTTTTTTTTTTTTTTTTTTTTAGTTCTTGAAGCAAAACAATGTTAACTTTAAGACAAAAAAATCATGATATCCTTTAATACAAAATAACAGATAGAAACTTATATGTTTTTTTTTTAAGATTCCGAAGCAAGTAACGGCAGTATATAGAGAGTTAACGGGAGCTAATCCCGAAGGAAGACCGAATCCTGCGGATGTGATAGCGCGTTGTCGCAGTAACGGCGGCTTCTTTAAAAACGATCTCGTTGACGCTCTATTGTTCTTGGAAGAGATTCAGATGAAGGAGAGGGGAGAGAAGATCCGATTTTTCTCGCAATTGGCCACGCAGTTGGATTCATTTCCCGATGGCGTTGGCAGATACAAAATCCTACCGCAATTACTTGCGGCCTTCGAATTCGGAGATGCCGGAAGTGCAGTGCTACCGCCATTGTTGCAATTGGGCTCTCAATTACCCGACGCTGAGTATCAGCGTCGAGTAGTGCCGTGCGTCGTCAAGTTGTTCGCGTCAAATGACAGAGCGACGAGATTACGATTACTGCAACAATTGGATCGATTCATTGATCATCTGCAATCGGCAACCGTTAACGAAGCTATTTTTCCTCATGTAAGAAAGATTCATTGGATATTAATAAAACTATCAATTTTTTATATATATCCTATAATGCTTCTGTATTCTTTAAAATCCATAATGATATTGATAAATCTAAGTCAAGTATTTTCTTATATAATCTCATCTATAATTTTATAAAAAATAGCAGTCAAATATAATAATAATTTTATTATTACATATATAACAATTATATTATTATATCATATACTTCAATTTTATATATATTTTTTGCAGGTCGCAAACGGCTTTCTCGATACGAATCCGGCGATCAAAGAAGAAACGATAAGATCGGTCGTACATTTAGCGCCAAAGTTAGATTATAATAATCTTAATGTCGAAACTTTAAAACACTTTGTAAGACTTCAGTCAAAGGATGAACATGGCAGTATTCGTACGAATACAACAGTTTGCCTTGGAAAAATTGCTCAACATCTTCACCCTCAGATAAGGCAGAAGGTATAATATCGATTTTAACCTTCCATAGCTGCTTAAATTCACAAAATATTTTTTTATTTTTTTCGACGGATTTATCTCTTTTACACATCTTTTTTAAATTACTCAGAATAGATTTCTTATATATATTTTTAATGTAATAACATTATCTCTCAATCTCCACAATATTAATAAATATATAATTATAATATGATTTATATATAATGAATAAAATAATATAATTTAATAAAAACATACAATCACTTGAAATAATATAATTATTGTTAAGCCAATTTATAAATGTAATTTTTTAGGTATTGCTTGGTGTATTTATTCGGGGAACTCGCGATTCCTTTCCGCCAGCCAGAATTGCAAGTATACTGGCTCTGGCTGCAACGCAGCAATACTTCCTGCTTCAGGAAGTTGCAAATCGTATTCTACCGGCTTTGTGCCCACTTACCACAGATGTGGACAAAGGTGTACGAGATAATGCATTTCGAACCATTCGAGGTTTTTTATCGAAGCTCGAAACTGTCTCTGAAGATCCCGGGCTTCGCGAATCGATGGGTAAGCATATATGTGTATTTTAATTCTTTAATCTTTAAGCATATCGGCGCGTATTTTCGTAAAATTATATATTAATATCGACAAGGAAAATATTCGGTATCTTGTGAAAACTTTTACATTATAATATTGTTTACATTTTATAAAAGTTTTATATATAGTAAATACCAATCGCGCCGTAGTGAGATAGATTTCTAGCCGCTTGATAATCATTATTTTCAAATCCTTTAAAAGAAAATAAAAGTACCGAAACTAATATTGTTATTGAAATATGTTTGTAGAGGCGGATGTGAATACCGCGACACCCAGCCTCAGCAACGCCGCGGCAACGTGGGCTGGATGGGCTGTTACTGCGGTCACAGCGAAATTCTATCGCAGTCAATCCGATACGCCAAAATCCTCGAATGCTCATAATACATCTAGGATCTTGTTAAATAAACCTGCTTCCTTAGGTTCGTATCGATCTTCTTTACTAGCGTCGTCGTATTCGCACGCGTATTCCTATAATTTCTACCCTAAATTTTCATTGAGAAATAGGGATGTACTTTCTTCCATGTATACATATCTCTTTATTACATCTCTTTTATTTAATTATCTTAGAACAAGCTAGCAGCTCTCAAAGCAGCGCTAGCACAACTGCCACAACGAGCAGCGCGACAAGCATGACCTCCCTCGATCCTGATCACGAGCATGATACGCAAAACACTCAAAATACGAATTCCGATTGCGATTGGGATTGCTGGGATGCTGATAATTGGGGAGACATGGAGCAGCAGCCCGCCACTACGCCATCGGTACCATTAAATCCAGCTAATAATAAATCACCGTCCGGTCATTCCCCTAAGACTAATGAACAGTGGACCAGCCTTGAAGAGGAACCGGTTTGTGTTTTGACATTTTATGACATTTTTCTGTATTGAATCAAGATTCTGCTTAAATATCTTCTTCATCTGATACGACTGAATTCACATTCAATCTGATATGTTAATGCGAACGGTAACGCGCATTATAATTCTTCGCTTTTAAATAGTATATTTTTAAACTATCTAAAGCCTTTTCCTGTTTAACAAAAATATCTTAAAGTATCAATTTAAATTATAAGTGGTTGAAGGAAATAAGACGAACGCTAACTAAGTCTTAAAGCTGAAAATATGTAATTTTTTAATATAAAGATGATTTTTCAATATTTAAATAATTATACATCTAATATTAAAAGAAATATTGCATAAAAATAACATCTAATCAAATTTTTATTAAAAAAAAATTAATTTTTTTAAATTAATGTAAAGGAATATTTATGCAAATTTCAGGACTTTCTATGCACATATAAATAGATATAGATTAGGCACAAAAAAATAACTGTGACCTTTTAGATGGCTATATATCTTGAGTATTAGTAATGCATAAATTTATATATTATAGGAAGAGGAAACAATCCAAGGTGTTCAAGAAAAAAATGATTCTTCCGAAGTAGGATGGGATGATTCAGAGTTTCAGCCTCTCGAAGATGTTCAGCCCTTAGAGCAACCAAGTATATTTGACTCGATTCTCAAGTAATACATTCAAATCTTTTCATCTATTTATCTAAAAAAAATATTTTTCGAATGCATAGGCGTTCCTAGCGGAAATAATAAATTTGAAGAAGCAAAAAGGAAAAGAGAAGAGCGTAAATTGGCCAGACAAAGACAAATGGAGGCGAAACGAGCGGTAAAATTACGAGCAAATCCAACTGCGAAAAAGATTTAAGTAATTACACGCCGTATATATATTAATTCTATTGTACATTAAGCAAATTAAATATTACAAATAATACAATGAAAGTATTTTCTGTATTTATAACTTGTCTAATGTAAGAAAGTTTATCCAAAAAATATTTTCTACAACATTATTTATTAACATTATATGCATGAAAAAATATATATATATTAAGTAAAAATTAATTATTTTATTTAACAGTTACTTTCACTTTTTACATAACCTATGCAATATAATGCTATAATATGTCACAATATATTTTATATGTATATATGTATATAGGACACATCTTTTTTTAAAAGACACTTCAGTGTTAATATCTTAATTTAAAATATAAAAGATACAGCATAAAACTTGATATATTTTAATTTACGTAAACGTTAGTATAATAAATTTTCTCTTGTAAAAAAAGCATGATTCTTTTCTTAATTCTTTGTAAACGAATGAGATTTTCTTTTTAGAAGAAATTGATTGCAGTATTTTAATTTCGCTAAATGTATCTCGCTTCCAAATTTGAAATCTTATCAAAGATATAATGCTATTTTTTACATTTTCTGTTCATATATATATTACACCACATGTATTTGATTGGTTAATTGGCATTATCGTCAGATAAGACCACAATAAAACAATTCAGTTACTATAAATGCGATTGTTCACTGGCGTTTTCACTATGGAAACGCATATTAAGATAATTCGCATTGTTAGTTTCTCGTATAAAACCTAAATTCTCATAGAATGGCACTAGACGATCTGTGCAATCCAAAGATAATTTATAACAGTGAAAATAGCGTGCTAATTGCATTATTATTTTCACCACTAGTTTCCCCAACGATTTACCTCTGTAATTATTATTGACCACTACATCTTCCAGACGTCCTCGCTGTAAAGAGATACATCCATATAACATTATATATATCTTTGCTTCAGAAGGAATTGGAAATTATAAAAGATAATTACATACCAAGCTACAATTATGAATGAACTTCTGTTCTATAACTAATGTTGCACATGCAATCACTTTTCCAGAATTTGTGTCCTCAATAACTACAACATAGTAACCACCAGCAGTCTTCATGCTGTAGAATCTATCTAAATAATGTGAAAATGAAAAGATATAGCCACATTATTTTTATTATTTGTTAAAACTTAGTTCCCGATTATAAACTTACTTAAGAATTGTTCCTTGCTGACATTTCCAACATCAGTCAATTGAGATAAAAGAACTAAAAAACCTGCCAAATTTTATAATCAAATTTAAAATCACTTTTAAAAGGAGAGAAAAAAAATTGAATATTACATTATATATTAGATATCATCTATTATGTGAAAAAATATATTACAAGAAAAAATTTATTAAATTTACCTTTTTCATAATCTGTGCTTCTTAATGGTCTTATGAACAATCCAACGACATGCGATATCGACAATCTATCTAGTATAGCGGGATTGAAGAGATTAATTTCGTCCTCTTCGATAGTTTTTCCCTGAAACAATAGAAATAATACAATGTCTTTAATAATATTGTACAATCTTATATGCGATTGAAGCGAATAAATAATACGATTTCTTGTTTTAATACCAGCTTCTTATATATGTGCGTAAGCGATTTAATAACAGCGCTTTAATTCTCTTTCTTATGTAAATATATATGTTTTTAATTATCGAAAAGCGATAAAACTACTGATTCTAAATTATGTATAAGACCTCATCCTGGTAAAATTAAAGTGCGAGAAAACATTAACGTATGGACGCTGTACCTGCGTTTCGTTCATGCTTGTTTCACGTTCTTTCGCGGCCCACGTTCAATTGTCAATCTGTATCAAGCTTTGATCTCATCTGATCGCTGGCTCGCAGGCTCGCATCTGTCACATCACACATTGACCTGACACAACCTGTTTGCACATGTATGTACGCGTTGCAAACGTTCGCAGCACACTCAGCGAAATTAATGCGTACTAACTTTCTAGGTATGTTCGCAAATCTTACTCGTAGGGTAGAGTAGCATTTATTTGACCAATCAGAACAAAGAATCTTCATTTCATTTGTCCTGATTGGTCAATTAAACACCACGTTATCTTAGGGGTAGGATCTCCGAATACACCCTGTCATGACCATATCTTCGTTGACATGGCTAGAATATGAAAACAAAGAGGAATTATGTATTGAAGATTAATATTTTGGATAACAATGTATGAAAGTAACGATATGCAGTAGTGTTTATGTCGTTTGTAAGATAAAACTCGACGAGGATATCGTGTAAAGATGTTTTTTTGAACGATCGAATAACATGATTTGAATTTTGAAGAGCTATCGTTTTTAGCACAAGTATGTAATAATTTTATATATAATAATATTATATATAATAAATTCATCTGTGTCATCACAGAGAGAGTGTAAACATAATAAAGTATTGTATAATTTTTTACATACAGATCAATGATGAGTATAAATAAAAGAAAGATATTCACATCAGATACATCCGATGAAGATGACAGTTTCAAACATCGACGTAGTTCTCTGAGAGTTAATCTAAGTTACTGTGAAAATTTAACAGATTCTGGCAACGGATCTCTGTGGAGAACAGAGATTGAGACTGATGGAAAAGGAACAGATACAGTGCGAGCTAATAAAAGACTGTCGAGACGCAAAAGATATGATAAATATGAAAACAAGAATCATCAATTTGATTCTGACAATGAAGAAGGTTTGCAAGTTAAAAGCGATACGAGTAAGCTTGCTGTAAGCAAGAACACTAACGTATCTCTTTGTGTCAAAAAAAGAATACAATTAAAAGAACTCCGAGTGAATCTGGAGAATATAAACATTAAGGAAAAGACTCTCGAAGCAAATTGCAAACGTTTAAAAGATGCAATTTTAAACAAGACTAAAGAGATATTCGATAGAGAGAATGATCTTTCCAGAAAAACTGCGATGATATTAAAGAATGAAGAAAATTGCTTTGCAGATGATATACATGATGCAAATATTAGAAATAAATCAATTATACTAGATGCAATGAGCAATCATCAATTAAGAAATAAGGCAATCATGGAACATGAAAGATGTATTAACAGTGTGAGTAATCAGCAAAGAGGCAATCGATATTCCAATATTGTCACTACACCAACAAATAGCAAAAAACTAGAAAGTTGTTCCAAGGGAGATATAGATAAATCTAGGTTGTCTCAGAGACGGTTATTTGCTGAGGAGGGCAAACAAATAGAAGGACAAGCAAAGTGTAGAATCATAGAGGATATCGTTTTGAAGGAAAAATTTCCATTATTCCCCCTCAGACAGACAGATCAAACTGGCAGTCCCATATTAAGTGGCAGTAACAGAAGACTTAGTTTGCTAAAAAAATCTAAATTATATTCACAAAGTCAATCTGAAAACCATAATACCACATATTCAACTATACACTCTCAATGTGTTGATATAGGAGCACCCATTGTTTGCTCCACTTTTAACGAAGATATTGTGACAGGTGAAAACGAAAATAACAATTCTTACAACGAAGCAAATAATGATATGGATACATCTCGTGCTACGCACACAACAAATAATATAATATCTATGGAAATGACAGAAGTTCATGGCGGTATTCAAATGAGTGAGGAACATCTATCTCTGCAAAGTACAAATCTAAATACAATTAATAGTATCAAAAATAGCAAGAAAAAGGAATCCAAACGAAAAAGTTTAGAACAGGACAAATATATTATTCAGATGCAAAGAACAGAAAATATTAATAGTCCTGTAGACAAATCTACGACACAAAATAACATTGCGCATTTTGATTTGTCCAACACAAATGTTACAAATGACCAGAATACAGTTATACCTATGCAAACATCCAGTATTGAACAAGCGGTAGTAGTCATAAAAACACGACCGCACATAGATGAGCGCGGTAATAAAACTAAAAATCACGAGAAACGACATACACTATCTTTGTCCGACAGCAATAATACAATTCGATCATCTTTAAATGTAAACACATCATTGGATGCAGTAACTGAAGCTGACAAGGAGGAAAATGTTCAGAAAACAAGCGATTACAGGTTCAATAATAGCAATCAAGATTTGAAAGCAGCAAAAACTAATAATGAAGAATCAATAGCTTTGGATAATCAATATGAAAGTTCAAATATCACTGAAGCTTCAATGAAAATGAATACATCGGTAAATTCGATGCGCGAAACATGGCAAAGAAGAAGTAATCATCTTCAATCATTAATCTCAGATAAGAATGATGAAGACACAACAGAAAAACATCCAAATATGGACAATCAATATTCATTAGCAGCAGAAAATGAAGACGCAAACGATGTAGAATCCTTAGAAAACATCAGTTTAATTCAGAGATTAAGAAATATCTTCACACAAAATTCAGTTCCTTATAACAATAAATTGAGGATTTCTGAAATGAAAGAGAAAGTAAGAATGGATAATAGATCTAATGATGCCAAAATTCAGCGCAGTGAGCATACGAGTGGAGACAGTTATGTCGAAGGAACTCCATATCCAATAAGCCGTTCAGTTTTATTCAAAACACAATTGAGACATAAAACACAAAATTTAGATAACAGCATAACATCTTGTAGCAACAATTTAAATTCAATGGGCAAGGAAAATATTGATAAAACTAAGTCAGATGCTTTGTAAGTATACAAATGTACAATAACATTTTCATGTAAATCATAAATTATATTATATACTTTGAATCACATAGTATTTGTTATTTTATGAATCATATCATATGGCTATATAGATGAGATTCATATAGTATGTATTAATCAGAAAGAGAGAGGAAAGAGAGGGAGAGAGACTTCTTTCTAATACAATCTTTTTTATGTTATTAGGTATTCAGAGACAGTTGAAATTAATACAGTTATTTTGGAAGATACATCTAGCGGGAATCCTTCTGATATTCAAGATCAATTGAGAGTCATAAAAGATACAATTGATGAAACAAGACTTGAAACAAGAGTTGAAACAAATGAAAAAAATAAAGTTACCACCGATAACATGGAATGTATTTCAGTGAGAAAAGGTAGAAGAAGATTATTACCACTTCATGAAAATTCTGAATTATGTTCAATTAGTCCAATAGAGGAAGATAAATGCATAGTTGAGAAATCAATAAAACCTACTAAAAAAAACAAAAAACTGAGAAAAAAACGTCCAAAGGAAAAATCAATAGGTCTCAAGAATGACACAAGCTCTATTAAATCTAATATCGCACGCGAACAAACATGGTCAGATAATGATTACGATATACCTAAAAACAAGAAGAAAAAGGATAAAAAAATACAAAAACCAAGGAAGATTGTTAGCAAGAAAATCGTCATCAAGAAATTTGCCGATGAAAACGTGTTGAATATATTAAAAGGAAATAAACAAGATAAAAAAGATGAATCAATAGAAAATAGAGATTCCTTTGATGATTTTGCAAAGCATCGCACAATATCTACTCAATGGAATAAATTTAAGTCTCAACAGATTACTATTGCAACAACTGGTCTATCAAAAGGGTATATAATAATAAGAAATTCTTTTAAAAAACACTTCTTTCTTTTTTATATTAGAAGAATTTTTAATATTTTTTACAAATTTGTAATGAAATTGCAATATGTTTTATATATGTAGGGACAAAAGTTTAGTAAAGAGCATTGTCAAATCTCTTGGCATGGCAAAAATAGAATTGAATGTATCGAGACGAACGACTCACGTTGTGAGTACAGGTGTGCGTACAGTGAATTTACTTCGAGGGATAATAAGAGGTTGTTGGCTGGTTACCTTAGAATGGGTTTTGAAATCTTTGGAGAATAATGCTTGGTTAGATCCGGAAGAATTTGAGATGAAACATTTCTCTAAAGCTGTGCAGGTAAGATAATGTGCAAAATGTATGATATAATATGCATAACGTGTAATATGTGTGCATTTTTCAGGAAAATCGGAAAGATAGACAATTATTTGGACCTTCATATATACCAGAATTGTTTGCAACATGTGGATTAATATATGTTGGGCATAATACCACAGTACCATGTCATACACTTAAAGAACTTATAAAGACAGCAAGTGGACATATCACTGAGAATATCAAACTTGCTAAAATTATTATTGGTACGAATGGTTTGAAGGAGACCTGGGTTATAGATTGTATCACGACAGGTGAACTACAATTAACTAACCTTTATGAAAGAAAATAAAGTGGACAAGCAAAAGTACAAGTAGAACTTTTTCTTGATATTATGTAACTTTATAAATCTTATATGATTTATTATATTACAAAAGATATTTGTATATTAAATAATTATTTTTTTGTACAATAATTTACGGATCATACAAAGTATTAATTAATAATATTATATAATAAATATTGGATGTGTACAAATATATAAGAAATCATTTTTTTTTTGTTTATTTTTACAATTGTTTAATTATTTAGAATCTCTGCTTTATCTTGTGTTTACATCTTGTCTTAACACATCTTTTCACAATAATTGTAATAAATTTGATAAAAAATATTTAAGAATATTGTACATTTCATTTTTATCGAGCTATAAAGAATACTCCTTTTTCTATTTTTTCTGTTTTATTTTGTTCTTATCTCCTATTACATGCAAGATGCGGAAAAAGCGCTTGCACACGTTTATTTATTTATAAATAAATTAATCTTATTAATCTTATTTATATTTTAATTTTTTTCTTTATTTTGAAAATTATATAAAGTAACAAATACCTTTCCTAGTTGAGTCAACTAAAGCTTAGATATCTATGTTTTCTCCAGTGTGACGTGTGACCATATGTGACAGTGTGTGTATTGTGTATGTCGTCGAAATGACGTTTCGCGTGTTGTATATATTTCTTTATTTTGAATTTTAAGAATGCTTTAAATGTTTAAACTCTCGAGAAAATGTGTCAACACATATACAACTAGACTTTTGACTTTCAACAATATTTGATCATATTGTTTTCTCCCGTTTTCATCTTTACAATAAACCGCACACATACATACACTCACATAAGCCCAAGCATTTCTATTTCACCTCTGATTCCACTCTTCTCAAAGATGCGTTCAGAAATGCTATCCGCGGGATAAAGCAACGTTTAATCGACCAATCAGGACAAAGAAATCTTTGCTTTTTTTTTTTTTTTTTGGTTGGTCAATTAAATGTACTCTACCTTACGAGTAAGATTTTTGAACGCACACCAGATTTAGGGTTAGGTTAGGTTAGGTTAGGTTACTTTCGCGGGGAGAATGAGCACTTGTGTCTACTGACAGCACCTAGTATGACCCAACATACGATGTGTCAAATTGACATACGTTCGCTAACATGCTTCTTCGTATTTGTTTAACGACATACTGATTCTCGCACGTCTCGATTGACCATGGATTACTACCCAGAAAAGTAAGTAGCAGAATTAGTAACGTCATAATCGCGCGCGTTTTCTTTTTGCATCATTTAATTACGCAACATTTCCAGAGATTACCTGTTCTCTTATCGCGTTCGTTATCTTTCACTTTGTATCGCAATCGACGCGATCTCGTTTTGTTATGTACATTTCAACAATTTCTTGTCTCGTTCGAGTAAATAATTTTGGGATACGTAAAAGTAATGCGACAATAGATTTTGTCATACTTTTTTTCAAAATGTCAGCATAACATACTTCCATCTGTATAATATATTTGTTTATCGAAGCATACAATCTGTGCGCACATATGTGTAAATGATGTACATATACACGTGCTTTGTTTGAGACTAATAGTATTCGAACAATCTCTTTTAGCACATGTAAATAAGATTATAAAGTAATTGTGTCGTATTCCAGTGGAATTCAATATATTTCCAATCATATTACATTACATTACTCTTTGTTAGAAATATCGCAATATATGTATATCGTTTGATATAGTTATAACAACATATCTGGACATGATACTCCGTCCCGAGATACATGCATTCCGTTTCCTCGAAACAATAGAACAATAATCACAGATGTGTACGCAGGAATACCTGAGAACTTGTTGTTGAATATAATAGGATTTGTCGTAAGATTTTGCTTGATTACTTGAAATATATATTGTCAAATGATAATTAGTTAATGACTTGCATGAATAAAAGATACTAATATGTATTTTAATATATGACATATACTGATATTTAACATAATATCTTGTTATTTAAGCTTTTAGTTACTTTATTTGGCTTATTACGTAAAAAGGCTTGGAATTATGGACGCCTTGCATTATTACATAAGTCTGATAACAGATGGATGGAGCTGTTCTATGGTGTTAATGAAAATAGAGACACTGATCCTTTGTGTATAGAAGCATCTATCAATTCTCAACTCTCTCAATTGGATAGAGGATTTTTCTCATGGATCGTTACTGCTTTTAAGATTACGTTAGTACTCTCAACATATATAAAATGTTTTTATTTATGTAGCGGTTATGTTTCAGAATATATCTCTATAACATAATTTATAATATTCTTTTACATTTGCAGCGACAATGAATTATTACAACGTGCAGGCCCTGATGGGTTATTGTATATTTTGTTTGAGCGTTGCTTAATCATATTAATCATTATGATGCTTATTGTATCGTTGTGTATAGCTTTGCCCATAAACTTTCATGGAACTATGCAACCAGGAAACAGTACAACATTTAGTCATACAACATTATCAAATCTAGATCCCTCGTCTAATTGGATTTGGGTCCACACGATATTGCTCTTATCTTATTTACCAGTTGGTGGATTTGTTATGAGACGTTGTTTGAAGCAGGTATTACAGTAATTATTATTTCAAACTCATTTATTACCTGTTATATAAAATGTTTTGTTCTTTATAATAAACATGACACACTATGACATTTGTATTTTATCATATGGTACGAGATACCAGACCTACTGGAGAATTTGCAGCAAGAACATTATTGATTACAGATATACCAAAACATCAATGCACTGTTGAAAATCTTACAGAATATTTCAAGTATGTGTGTATATATATATATATATATTTGCATACAAATAACTTTGATGTAAATGTCACGCGGACATTCTTTAAATTGACAATCCTTCCAGAGAAGCATTTCCCACTTTAACAGTGGAGGACATTACATTAGCTCACGATATACAGCGTCTTTCAAAATTGGATGCAGAAAGAGATTGCGTGGAACAGGCGCGCTTATATTGCGAGAGTTATGCTAAGAAGAGAGAACCTTTGAAAATGTATCCTTATCCATGTGGTCAAGTTCTTGGAACTTGCTGCAAAAAGGTAAGTGTATCAATAAAATTATAAATATATAAAATATAAAGTCAATTATTTTATTGTATATTCGTAAATACACACACAGACACATATCGCGCATATTATTATTTTTAACACTATTGAAAGTTTGAATTATATTGTATTTGCAGCAAGTGGATGCTCAAGAATTTTACACTAATGAAGAAATACGATTAACAGCATTGGTCGAAGAAGAGAAGAAGGTAGCACTTAGTAAACCTCTTGGAGTAGCTTTTATAACTTTAGGTATTTCATTTAATAACGTGTTTTTTATTTTATAATTAAATTAAGAAAATTATAATACGATAAATATAATCAACAGGAACACCCGGTGCAACTAAAACTATGCGCAAACAGTTGAGGTCCTCGCCGAATATAAAATGGATCGTAGATTATGCTCCGATGCCATCAGATATATTTTGGGAAAATCTAAGTATCCCCAGGCCGTGCTGGTATCTAAATGCTGTATTAATAAATTTCGCTTTGGGGTTAATATTGTTTTTCCTTACTACACCAGCTGTAAGTCAATTTTTTTCAGCAAGAGCACATTTTATAATAAAAATTATACAAATTAAAAAGAAAGACATACATAATAAAGAAACTGAAAGATATATAAAATATTTTGATACTAATAAACAACATAATGTTTTAATCTTTAATTAATTCTCTCTTAGCTTTATTTCAACATTGATAAAAATTTTTAGAAAGAAAATATATGATATATATATATATATATATATATATGTTGCTTTTTCAATTTTAGGTCATAGTAACAAGTCTCAATAAATTACCGATTACCGGAGAGATTATGAATTTGAGCACAGTGGTTTCATCCTTTCTGCCTACTGTACTCTTAATCAGTGTAGCTGCCTTAATGCCTGCATTAGTTGCGAGGTGCGAATCACTCGTAAGACATTGGACTAGGAGCAGTTTAAATCGTACCATTATGAGAAAAACATTGTTACTCTTGCTACTGATGGTGCTTATATTACCTAGTCTAGGATTAACCAGCGCGGAAGCGTTCCTAGAATGGACTTTAAAGGAGCGAAATAACACGGCAAAATGGGAATGTGTATTTTTGCCAGATCAGGTGAGAGATAAAAGTGTGTGTGTGTGTGTGTGTCCACATTCTTATAAATGAAAAATATAAATATTTTAATAAGTAGAATTTTTTGTTTCTCTAAAATATTTAATTTCACACAAATCTGTATTAAGAATATAAAATTTGTAGGGAGCACTTTTTGTAAATTATGTTATAACCGCCGCCTTGATCGGGAGTGGATTAGAATTGGTTAGATTTCCGGAACTCGCGCTATATACCTTCAGACTCTGTACAGCTCGCAGTCGAGCGGAAAGGATACATGTTAGAAAAGCAGTTCTATGGGAGTTTCCACTGGGAGCTCATTACGCATGGTTACTCTTGGTCTTTACTATGACAACTGTCTATAGCCTGGCGTGTCCGTTAATCACTCCCTTTGGTCTACTCTATCTTGTAGTTAAACACTTGGTATGTTTGACTTGGCACCTTGCAACCTGATCATTCTTTGATGTTTTAGATATATATATTTTTTTAAATAAAAATATCTTTTGATGGATAGGTGGACAGGCATAATTTATGCTTTGCTTATGGACCAAGCATTGGTGGTGGCCAACTGGCTGGAGCGGCAGTTGGTGCTGCAGGAGCTGCGCCAGTTTTAGCGCAAGCTGCTCTTTTGGCCTTAGGTCTGGTGCGAAGAGGTCTGTCCCCATTAGCCGCAGTGCAACTCAGCGGTCTCTGTGCGACCATTTTGGGCCTGGTAACTGGTGCTGCGTTGCCGTTATCGAAACCTAAGGTATTATAGATAGATATTAAGATATACCTAAAATATTAAAAGTATTAAATTATTAATATTATGTAGCTCGAAATAGTTTTATGGGAGGACTCTGTTGAACATTTCGTCATACGAATTGTTGAGCAATCAATGTAAAAAAAAAAAAAAAAACTTTTTCTAGATTTATATATAAATCTTGAAGTTCAAATTTTACATAATATACTTTACAATCTATACATATGAAAATGATTTAAAAAACTATAAACTAGGTAGAAAACAAAAACAACAAAAAAAAAAAATTGAAAATTTTAGTGAATCCCCCTTTTTTAGGAGCATATTAATTATTTAAAATATTTAAACGTTGATCAATTCTATTAGACACAAGTACCGAAAAGGGATCTTTCGACGGGTCAAAATTTCGTCGCACCAGTATTACGAAAGAATATGACATCTTTGGAAGAAACTATATCGACTGCTTCGAATTCAGAAGCGAATTTACCAAGTCCGAGAAGTACCACTTCCTCTATACAAGAAAGTCCAAAGCTATACCAAAACTATGGTGGTGAGCAAAGGGTTTAATATCTGTATTTGTATTACATTTGACACACACGCGCGCACACACACACACACAAACACACGTACATACACATAGATATACAGAACGCTCCGTAATTTAAGAAGCTATACATATATTCTAATTATTAATACATTAATAAACTAACTGTGCAAGTTAGAGAAAAACTATAGCACAAATAATGTACAATCTAACATTTCTTATATAGAACTGTCACATTAACAGAAATTAGTATTATTTATTATAATTATACTTTATTTTGAAAAATTAATTATGATTAATTTAGAAAAATTACAAAATACTACCTTAGGATTACTCTCTTTATCTACTCTTTTATTTATTAACAGTTTGTCATAAAAAAAGTATGAAAATGATTATATATTTAATACTCTATATTTGTGTATAAAAAAAAAATAAAGCCTTATTGAGAGTATACTCCATGTAATCACTACTTAAAGAATTTCAGCGAGAAGAACAGACAGAGCTATATATATTATCATTTCAAATCTAGCAGCATAAAAACAAAATATCTATTAAATCAATTTATTATATTTTAATATTTTATAACTCTATATAATATTAGCATCAATACGTAATATTGCTATATAATAACTTTAAATGAATAAGCTTACAATTATATACAACACATTTTACATATGAAAATAGTTTTTAGTCAAAGTGCAATAATTTTTCGGTTTTCCGTTTTATAAATAATAATGTTGATATTTTCACAAGAAAATTATAAATAATCTTTATAATAATATGTACATATTATTACGTAATTCACATCAAATTACGATAATAATCATATAGTTTTTAATGATTAAGCAGATTGGCTCTTTTAATATCTTACTATAATGATTGCAACACAGAAGATATGGTTAAGCAGGATGCTTTATTTCCATTGTGAGAATAATATAGAGAATCCTATAATGTTTATGTACTGCTTATTCTGTTTATATGGAAGCGTGATACATATTATAATTACATATATATGTATACATAAATAATTTCTTGGCGTACACATATATACAAATCTTAAAAATTTATGATTCAACATATCGATTTTCTCAAAATGTTCTTTCACCAAGTTAATTCGAAGTTTTTTCATGATAAATAATTAATAAGTATTATAATTAGTCATGTATCTGTACAATTTCTTAAAAATTATAAAGTTTCGCGATTCTGGTATAATAATCTACTTTTTGCGTTCGTATCTGTTGTTTCTACACATTTACGAAACCTAAGAATGCAGAACTTATTTTATATATAATGCTATGTCAATGAATTAAATGCATTTTGTCATCTGGAGAATTAAAAGTCAAATATTATATAAAGATCGATCATGTGTTTTTTTTTTTCGCTTGTGTAAACTACTTATTACAAAATAATTATCGTTCTCTTTTTCCCACATAAACATCTCATCATTAATTTATCCCACAAAGATGAAACATTTTATAAAATGTGAGGCAGTGGAGATAGTTATTGCAAATCTAAAGAGTCAATAGAAAATGATAAACATGATTGGGTTGGAAAAGTTTGCTTACTTTTCCTTTCTCTCTCTCATTAAGGCACTAGTTATTGTGTAAAATTTTATAACATAACTATACATAGCATATTTGCAATATAAAAAAAAAAACTACAATTATCAAATATTTTTCTAATTGTTTTCGAGATTATATTATGTAATAGATTATGTTACTATGATTCTTTACCCACAGTTTTTAATATTTTATATAATTATATATAGTTATGTGTGTGCATATAATTATATATTAAACACATAATATTATAACATATTATATGTAAAATAATACATATTATATATATGATAACATATATTAGAGAGCGAGAGAGCATGAATTTTTATTATATGAATAATAAAGTATCATTGAGAATGACAGAAAATTCTTATTCACGCAAACTACCACCAATTATAGCTTCCAATTGACTAGATGTAAGATTACTTAACTCCTTTGCTTGATTTTCTTCCCGTTGCGATTTGTAAGATGTTTTCTTCTTCATTGTCCTTTTATCATATGACATAAAATTAGTCTCGAGATTGCTCTCTTCCTCCTCCTTCTGAGATTCTTCGCTCTCTTCACTGCTTAGATGAACCTGCGAGGCACATTATTGTTTAAAATGATCTTTGCAAAGAATGCGATAGTATTTTGGAAATAGATATTTGAATAAAAACACAAATTAAAAAAGATATATATTTTTTAATAATAGATGATAGAGAAAAAAGTATATTTGTATTGGACACACAAAAGTGTCTCAGTTAAATAATCATCTTCTCTCTTTCTCTTTTTTTTTTAAAGGAGGTATATCATAATATAATTTTAAATTGTCAACTCATAAGAAACAATCACTCAAATTATTAAATTTGAATTAGAAATAAAAACTGGTTTTCTAAAATATTTTTGCTTAATACATAATAAAAATTATTTAAATTAAAACAGTGTTCTATATATATTACAAATAAAGTAAAAAAGAAAAAAACATTTAAGAATTATCATTTGATTAATATTCGCGATTGGATATAGTATCTGGATGCATATGAAATCAATACATTAAGATCCGCGTAATCAAAATACTTTTTAAAAATTAAATACTATTACTCACCATGTCTTAAGCAAAAAGAAAAATATAATAAATAAACTTATTTCTTATTAAATGCATAAATATAAAAAAGTGGAATGAAAAATATATAAATATTAACTAGATATATACAATATATCACGGTTTACTGCTCATTAACTATCCGTTTTTTAAGTGTAAAATAGAATTTTCTCTTCGTTGAAACTCTCACGTCGTTAAGCGTGTCAGCTGTTGGCAAAAAATATCGTGTAATGGGTTGAAAGGCACTGAAAGTATTTATGAATTACGTGAATCTCAAAAGTCGATCGTAAGTCTCTATGCTTGTCGTAGAAAAAAAAAAGGAAATTTATAAAACATCGCGCACGCGCGACTAGTAGAGCTTAGCAAAAAGGCGAACGACCAACATTTTCTACGATATAGAGTTGACGAGATCCGCGATGATCGATCTGTCAGTGGCAAACATGGCAGTCATTCAAACGATCGTCAATATTTTTTTAATCCATTAAAAGTCATTATTTTTTCTTTTTTTATACTAAAAAACAAGATATAGATTGCGAAAAAACTTTTAATTCTGCGTGATTCAATTAAATATGCTGTTAAAATTGCAACACTATATATATATATATATACATTTACATTTACTTACAACTACTACCATTTGTAAGAAATCCATATCTATAGTATACAGTAAAAATACATTCTCATTCGCAAGTACAAAAAAAAATTAATTTTTTTTGATCAAATGTCACACTATATTGCCAATTTGAAGGAGTAGGGATGATGGGGACAATGAAAAATAATTAAAAATAAAAGAATTCAGGTATTTCTTCTGTTTCTCTTTGTTTTTTCAAAACATATGTGCTACCTTCCAATTTTACAGCATAACTTTCATTATGTTACAACATTATAACAATAATTGTTGCTTTTCTTATGTATGTATAGAATAGCCGCGAGTAAAAATTTTGATATATTGCATAATGTAATTAAAATGATTGTATAAAAGAATACCTTATCCCTCGTTATTTATGTATTCTTTACATATCAATTATGACTTTTATGTTCAAATTATAATTTAGATCCATATTTTTGTGCAAATATCATATTTAGCATAAAATAACGCAAATTTTCATAACGGAGTAAACAATATTGTGGTTCCTTTGGCAAATTACAAACGCATTCACTTGTTTATTCTTATCTAGCCTCTATCAAAACACTTCAATTTCAGGGATTCTATCACTGATCTTGGATAAATTCTTCGACACATAAATTTTTCTCTCTCATGCTCTACCACCACCAAAGTAATATGCAGTCAATTCAATTGTGCGCAAATAATACAGAGATGTATAAATTAAGGATACAAAACGCTAATTGCATCGCAAACGCACAAAGTATCTCTATGCGAAGCTGTATTGATATGCAAATAAGATTTGCGAAATTATTCATCTATTACAGTGATTTTTACTAATGACACAAATAGGGAGCAAGGTTTCATCTCACCTCTACAATAGAAACTCTTGGTGATGGTTCACGCGTCGTTATTTTTTCCATTACGATCGGACTATCGGAACTCGTCGATAAGTATTCTTTATCTGTCTCGTTATCATTATCTGAATATTCTTTCTCGTCCTCGATAGGTTTCTGTACATCCGCGTTTTCGTGTACCTTACATACGACACCACCCTTCTCGTTGTCTCGTTCAAATAAATTACCATCAAGATGAACTAAAAACACAAGCAATAATGATACATATTAATATTAATATCAGTTTTTGCAATGCATACAAGTATATTATGTATAAATAAAATGTCCTTTTAACCAATATCTTTTTTGACCAATTTGAGAAATCGTTTTTCTTCAGCAAAAATATCCGTCGAATGAGATTATCACTTATTGCATATTTTGCTAATTTTTAATATATATTATAGAGCATCAATCAAGCTTGAAATTAAAATGTTGTTAAAGTGAAATTCATTAAAAATTCATTAAAAAATTGCTCGTGTCGTTTTCTTTTCTATAAGCTAATTATTTAAACTAAGTCACTAAATTTAGATGTCTCGACATTTTCATTGAGGAAAAATTGATTTCGGATTGCTCAAGAAATCTGCAATGAAAAGACATCTGCTAGTTTTAGGACAGTCTGTGTATATTGTAAATATGCGTTAACATCATTTTCTGATTACCTTGACAGAAGGCAGTGCTGCAGAAGGAACAGTGCGCCGACGTTCGACGTCCGCATTCTACGCAATGGTGCCAAGGGCAACTAAATTTCAATTCCGCATCATCAATTACGATGCATGTTGTGTGATATTTTTTATTACAAGTTCTTTGCGAGCAGACTATAGAATTGCTCAAATCCGATATTTCTTGTCCACATCGCCAACACATAAACTTTCTTGATCTAAAATACAGTCAATGAAATTCGTAACACATTATATGATAAGAACCACGATAAGACGATAAGGATAAAGTGTACAATAACATATACCTTTTGTATCGTTTCGATTTATCGACTTTTTTCGTTTGTATAACCGACTTCGATTGCACAGCCGATTGTACCGTAGACAACTGTTGTTTTTGCGCCTTCAAACCGATAAAGCCGCTACAATTCGGTGCACCGCAAAGACACACTTTCCGCGTTTCTCCGTCGGATGCTAAATTGTAATTGAACGTCAGCTCTTCACCGGACTCTATGTCGCGCAGAGCAAACAGACCGATACGTGTATCTCCGTTCACC